TTGACCCCACAGGGTGAGATCTTGCGTGGAGCCCCATATCGAGGGAGATTATCAGTGGTCTTGTATGTCTTCCATTTCCTAATAATTGCTCCCACAGTTGATTTCTTCAAACCAAGCTGCTTACCTATTGCAGATTCAGTCTTCCCAGCCTGGTGCAGGTCTACAATTTTGTTTCTGATGTCCTTTGACAGCTCTTTGGTCTTGGCCATAGTGGAGTTTGGAGTGTGACTGTTTGAGGTTGTGGACAGGTGTCTTTTATACTGATAACAAGTTCAAACAGGTGCCATTAATACAGGTAACGAGTGGAGGACAGAGGAGCCTCTTAAAGAAGAAGTTACAGGTCTGTGAGAGCCAGAAATCTTGCTTGTTTGTAGGTGACCAAATACTAATTTTCCACCATAATTTGCAAATAAATTCATTAAAAATCCTACAATGTGATTTTCTGGATTTTTTTTCCTCAAATTTGTCTGTCATAGTTGACGTGTACCTATGATGAAAATTACAGGCCTCTCTCATCTTTTTAAGTGGGAGAACATGCACAATTGGTGGCTGACTAAATTATTTTTTTCCCCCACTGTACTTATGTATCAAAAGTAAATGTAATTGCTAAAATATACTTAAGTATCAAAACTAAAAGTATAAATCACTTCAAAGTCCTTTATTAAGCAAAGCAGACAGCAACATCTTGTTTTGAAAATGTACGGATAGCCAGGGGCACACTCCAACACTATTTACAAAATATGCATTTGTGTTTAGTGAGTCCGCCAGGCCAGAGGCAGTAGGGATGACCACGTGTTCTCTTGATAAGTGTGTGAATTTGACCATTTTCCTGTCCTGCTAAGCATTCAAAATGTACTTTTGGTTATCAGGGAAATATATGGAGTAAAAAATACAATATTTTCTTTAGGAATGTAGTGAAGTAAAAGTAAAAGTTGTCAAAAATATAAATAGTAAAGTAAAGTACAGATACCCAAAACAACTACTTAAGTAGTACTTTAAAGTATTTTTACTTAAGTACTTTACACCACTGGCCCTATATTCCCTCAACCTACGTATGTTCCCTCAGTCCTACGTTCCGTCAGTCCTACGTTCCGTCAGCCCTATGTTACCTCAGCCATAAGCTCCCTCAGTTCTATGTTCCCTCAGTTCTATCTTCTAAACCACGGGTCAGGGAAAAAAGGGAGTGCTAACAAATATTTTACATAGCTTATATGTTGACACCCATGATGTACACGTCTTTTGGTGAGTTGATCCACTGTCATTGCATGATGGAACAAAGATGGGCAGTATTTCTGTTACATGTTTTTTAATACGTATTTCAATTACTTTTGAGTATTTTGTAATTTTTATCTCATTGTCCTGAATTACAATGCAATTAGTTGTTTTGAATAAGTTACACAATTTCAAAATACTTAATACTTTTTTTATACCATTTTTATAGCGGCTCACAATTGTGTGGCCCCCTATCACCCCAAATGTACTGCATTGGTGTCAGAAGTGTGATAGCATTATGGTGTGATAAAAGCGTCTGCTAAATGACCAAAATGTTATGTGAAAATGAACACTTGCAAAGCACACTGGGTGTAATTCTAGTGATCTCTGTCCCCAAACAAGGCCAAATTTGATTACAATAAAAATTATTTGGACAATAAGCATTTGTGCAAAAAAAAATATTAATTGGTTCAGTGGGTACTGAGGGAACATAGGGCTGAGGGAATATAGGGCTGGGGGAACATAGGGTTGAGGGAACATAGGGCTGAGGGAATATAGGGCTGGGGGAAAATAGGGTTGTGGGAACATAGGGCTGAGGGAATATAGGGCCCAGGGAACATAGGGTTGAGGGAACATAGGGTTGAGGGAACACAGGGCTGAGGGAACATAGGGTTGAGGGAACATAGGGCTGGGGGAATATAAGGTTGGGGGAACATAGTGCTGAGGGAATATAGGGCTGAGGGAACATAGGGCTGAGGGAACATCAAATCAAATCATATTTTATTTGTCACATACACGTGTTTAGCAGATGTTATTGCGGGTGTAGCGAAATGCTTGTGCTTCTAGCTCTGACAGTGCAGTAACATCTAACAAGTAATATCTAACAATTTCACAACATATACCCAATACACACAAATCTAGTAAGGAATGGAATTTAAGAATATATACATATACATATATGGACAAGCAATGACAGAGCGGCATGGACTAAGATAAAGTAGAATATTATAGAATAGAATACAGTATATACATACAGTGGGGAAAAAAAGTATTTAGTCAGCCACCAATTGTGCAAGTTCTCCCACTTAAAAAGATGAGAGAGGCCTGTAATTTTCATCATATGTACACGTCAACTATGACAGACAAAATGAGAAAAAAAAATCCAGAAACTCACATTGTAGGATTTTTTATGAATTTATTTGCAAATTATGGTGGAAAATAAGTATTTGGTCAACTTCAAACAAGCAAGATTTCTGGCTCTCACAGACCTGTAACTTCTTCTTTAAGAGGCTCCTCTGTCCTCCACTCGTTACCTGTATTAATGGCACCTGTTTGAACGTGTTATCAGTATAAAAGACACCTGTCCACAACCTCAAACAGTCACACTCCAAACTCCACTATGGCCAAGACCAAAGAGCTGTCAAAGGACACCAGAAACAAAATTGTAGACCTGCACCAGGCTGGGAAGACTGAATCTGCAATAGGTAAGCAGCTTGGTTTGAAAAAATCTACTGTGGGAGCAATTATTAAGAAATGGAAGACATACAAGACCACTGATAATCTCCCTCGATCTGGGGCTCCACGCAAGATCTCACCCCGTGGGGTCAAAATGATCACAAGAACGGTGAGCAAAAATCCCAGAACCACACGGGGGGACCTAGTGAATGACCTGCAGAGAGCTGGGACCAAAGTAACAAAGCCTACCATCAGTAACACACTACGCCGCCAGGGACTCAAATCCTGCAGTGCCAGACGTGTCCCCCTGCTTAAGCCAGTACATGTCCAGGCCCGTCTGAAGTTTGCTAGAGTGCATTTGGATGATCCAGAAGAGGATTGGGAGAATGTCATATGGTCAGATGAAACCAAAATATAACTTTTTGGTAAAAACTCAACTTGTCGTGTTTGGAGGACAAAGAATGCTGAGTTGCATCCAAAGAACACCATACCTACTGTGAAGCATGGGGCTGGAAACATCATGCTTTGGGGCTGTTTTTCTGCAAAGGGACCAGGACGACTGATCCGTGTAAAGGAAAGAATGAATGAGGCCATGTATCGTGAGATTTTGAGTGAAAACCTCCTTCCATCAGCAAGGGCATTGAAGATGACACGTGGCTGGGTCTTTCAGCATGACAATGATCCCAAACACAACGCCCGGGCAACGAAGGAATGGCTTCGTAAGAAGCATTTCAAGGTCCTGGAGTGGCCTAGCCAGTCTCCAGATCTCAATCCCATAGAAAATCTTTGGAGGGAGTTGAAAGTCTGTGATGCCCAGCAACAGCCCCAAAACATCACTGCTCTAGAGGAGATCTGCATGGAGGAATGGGCCAAAATACCAGCAACAGTGTGTGAAAACCTTGTGAAGACTTACAGAAAACGTTTGACCTGTGTCATTGCCAACAAAGGGTATATAACAAAGTATTGAGAAACTTTTGTTATTGACCAAATACTTATTTTCCACCATCATTTGCAAATAAATTCATTAAAAATCCTACAATTTCATTTTCTGGATTTTTTTTTCTCATTTTGTCTGATATAGTTGACGTGTACCTATGATGAAAATTACAGGCCTCTCTCATCTTTTTAAGTTGGAGAACTTGCACAATTGGTGGCTGACTAAATACTTTTTTTCCCCACTGTATGAGATGAGTAGTGCAAGATATGTAAACATTATTAAATTGACTAGTGTTCCATTTCTTAAAGTGGCCAGTGATTTCAATAGGCAGCAGCAGCAGCCTCTAATGTGCTAGTGATGGCTATTTAACAGTCTGATGGCCTTGAGATAGAAGCTGTTTTTCATTCTCTCAGTCCCAGCTTTGATGCACCTGTATTGACCTCGCCTTCTGGATGATAGCGGGGTGAACAGGCAGTGTCTCGGGGGGTTGATGTCCTTGATGATCTTTTTGGCCTTCCTGTGACATCGGGTGCTGTAGGTGTCTTGGAGGGTGGGTAGTTTGCCCCCGGTAATGCGTTCGGCAGACCGCACCACCCTCTGAGGAGCCCTGCGGTTGCGGGCGGTGCAGTTGCCGTACCAGGCGGTGATACAGCCCGACAGGATGCTCTCAATTGTGCATCTGTAAAAGTTTGTGAGGGTTTTAGGTGCCAAGCCAAATTTCTTCAGCCTCCTGAGGTTGAAGAGGCTCTGTTGCGCCATAGAGTTGAGGGAACATAGGGCTGAGGGAATATAGGGCTGAGGGAATATAGGGCCCAGGGAACATAAGTTGAAGGAACATAGGGCCCAGGGAACATATGACTGAAGGAACATAAGGCTGAGGGAACATAGGGCTGAGGGTACACTATAAACCAGCAAGAGTGGCCAACTCTTCTCCTAGAGAACTATGGTACATACAGGAGTTTTCTCCATCCCTGCTCTAACACATCTGATTATAATAGTCAGCTGATTGGCTGATTTGGGTGTGATAGAGTAGGCCAGGCCTAGACCTGGAACAAAAGCCTGTTTTTATGTTTTCAAGTTATAACCAGTAACTTTCCTGGAAGAGGGTTGGCCACCCGTCATACAGTGAACATAAGCAAGACAAGGCAGGCAGTAGGTGTCACATAGATCAGTTGACAGAATTTTAATGATTCAAGGTATGAATCTTCAAAAAGCAAACATATAGAGTAGGATGGGGTGATGGGGAAACCTGCCACGGCCAGGCAAAAAGTACAGTGATATAGTGACCTCTTGTGGTAGACCACGGACTTTTTCATTTCTCAAACACTGGTGACGACGTTCAAATGCGCCAACTGTCTCGGTAATCACATGATTTTTATGTTGCGTCAGTTGTGTAGTGTAGCAAACTCTAGCAGCTATTTTCTCAATGATACAGGGAATATCACATAACATTGGAGAATATGAGACGTGCAGAAGCTAGTGAACACGTAGAGTAATTTTGTGGAATCCTTAGGCCTCGACCTTGAACACTTTTTTAAAGCGAAGTAGTTAGATAGATAGCTAACGTTAAGCACGTTTCCTTTTCATGACTAACTTCTGCTTGTTGTACCAGTCAGTCAGAATGGGTCATTTTCTATATCTCACCACCTTACTGTACCTGCTTGTTACGAGTTGCTCGGGCTCCCCTCCCTCGAATTTCATCCTCCTGTTCGCGGACGACATGGGGTTCGGCGACCTAGGATGCTACGGCCATCCCACCTCGCTCACCCCAAACCTGGACCGATTGGCGGCCGACGGACTGAGATTCACCGACTTCTACTCCACCAGTCCCGTCTGCAGCCCCTCCAGGTAGTAACTAACTAGCAACATATTACAGTAACAATAGCTAATATCCGTATCAAAATCAGGAGGAGGTGGGGTATTTATGAGGAACAATTCTATTGATTGGGGGTGAGTGAGGTTGGCAGTGAAAAAAAATCGAACTATTGGTCACGTGCACAGGATACAGCAGGGGTACACTCAACTACTCAGTGTTGCCAATTTAGCGACTTTGTCTCTATTTAGCGAGTTTTCAGACCCCTCTATCATCTACATATCGTTCTTACTCTTCTCAAAGAGCAGCGGGGGCCCTCTATATTTAGCGAGTTTTCAGACCCCTCTATCATCTACATATCGTTCTTACTCTTCTCAACGAGCAGCGGGCCCACCCGTCCCACCCGTCCCATGCCCCCCCCCCCCCCCCCCCCCCCGTCCCCCCCCCCCCCCCCCCCCCCCCCCCCACCCCGTCCCATGGGCCCCCACCCCGTCCCATGGGCCCCCACCCCCCCCCCCACCCGGTCCCATGGGCCCCATCCCGTCCCCACAAAATGTACATTAAATTAGACTAAAATTTGAATTAATTACAACTTCTTTCGAATGTAAACATGTGCAACATTGCATCAACATTGCTGAAGAACAAAAGTGGTTGCATTATTATTTATGCAAAAAGTGCACTGTGAAACATTGTACATGGGCCTTTTTTTCTTCTTCTGGAGAACAAAATAATCATCTGAATGCACAGAACGTCACTGTGGGCCATGCAATATTCATGTATAAGTCACTCTGGGCCTTGCCCTGCATTAATGAGAGAAATGACACTTTCTGTCTCCTGCCAGTGCTTTGAACTTTGGCACAAATGGTGTGAGATCAACTCTGAGACACTGGTGCAGGTGTTCATCGGTGAGCCTGGTGCGGTATTTGTTTTGAATAAAGTTCATTGTGGAGAAGGCTGATTCACAGCTGTATGTGGAGCCAAACATGGTCTGGATGTATAGTGCCAGTTTCTTGAGAACAGGACATTAGCTGCAGGCACCATCTTTCCCCAGAAAGTGACAGGGTCACAATCACCAGCCTGCTCCTTCAAAGCCACAATTTCTTGCAGATCAATCAACTCCATTTGCAGTGATGCAACATCTAGCCATCTGAAAATCTGTTTTGCTTTTTCTGACAACTTTGTTACATTTGTGACCAAGAAGGGGTTCTGGATGAGCAGCAGCAGTTCTCTTCCAACAGTGAAGTCATCAAAGCGAGCCTTGAAGTTATCCATCAACTTCTGGATGAAATCAACATGGTTGGGAACATCTTTGTCTCCCTGCGTTTGCACCAAAAGATTGCGGAAGTGGACAAGTTCTCCCTGGAGATCATTCTTGAAAAGCTCCAATTTCTTCTGGAAAGCCCGGACTGCTGTTATCATATCACACACTGTGTTGTCCCATCCCTGCAGCTTAACATTCAGTTGATTAAAGTGTGATGTAATGTCTGTGAAAAATGCAACTGTTTCCATCTTCTCATCTTCCAAAAACTTGAGTTGCCTTGTCACCCTTTTGCTCTGATAAGAAAGCTTTGCTTTCCTCCTGAATGGCCCAAAAGTGTTCCAAAACCCTGCCTTTGCTGAGCCATCTCACATTGTTGTGCAGTAGTAAGTCATCAAAATGGGCATTGGCCTCTGTCAGAATGCCTTGTAGCAGGCGGTGTTGTAGGGATGATGTTGCTCTCAAAAAGTTGATCAGTTTCGTCATCATTGTCTTGACCTCAGAATAATATTTTCCCAGACTGGCAGGACAGATTGATGGATGATGCAGTGATATGATGTCAGGTCAGGGTGGTCCTCTTTCAAATGTGCATCCAGTCCCCTCCCTCATCCTATCATGGCTGGAGCTCCATCTGTGGTGATGGAGACCACTGACTTCAGATCTATCCCGCTTTTTGCCAGCATCCCTTTGATGGCCTCACGGATATCCTCTCCCCGTGTGTGTGCTTCTAAATTTGTTAAGCCCAACAGCTCCTCACAGAATTATTTATTTGTTTCATTATAAAATCTGACAAACACCAGACACTGGGCATTATCAGTGTTAACTGTTTCTTCATCCACAGCTAATTTAAATGCATGGTGCATTCTGAATGGCCTCATCAAGTTGTGAAGTTAAATCTTCAGCTAATATTTCAGTTCTCCTCATTGCTGTGGAATCTTGACAGTGGGATCGGTTTGATCTTTTCCCTGAGCTCATCTTTTTGTTCACCTTCAAGCAAGGTGTCAGCAACTTCAAACATGCATTTCTTTACCATCTCAGCGTCTGAAAATAGTTTTTTTGTGTTTTCCCAAAACACAAGCTATCCTCAGTGAACACTCAATTGCATGTTGTTGGGCTGTCAGGGAATTGACAAGGACTTTGGTGGAACTCTCATATTGGGATTGGAGTTGGTTAATCTTGTTTGTTCTCACCTCCGTGTTCAGGGGATACGTCTGATCGAATTTAGTATTCCTGGTGTCATAATGACGCTTAACATTGGCACTTTTCACGAGAGCTACGGACTCACTGCATATCAGTGGCAGTGGCAGTGGCGGCAGGTAGCTTAGTGGTTAAGAGCGTTGTGCCAGTAACCGAAAGGTCGCTGGTTCTAATCCCCGAGCCGACTAGGTGAAAAATCTGTCGATGTGCCCTTGAGCAAGGCACTTAACCCTAATTGCTCCTGTAAGTCGCTCTGGATAAGAGCGTCTGCTAAATGACTAAAATGTAAAAAAAATGTAAAATATCAGGCACATTGGTTTTGTGCTAGTTGCGGGGAGAATTAATAAATACTGTTCCGTCCACTCGTCTTTGAATATACGGTTTTCGGAGTCATCTTTGATTTTTGATTAACAAGCCATATTAACAAAGATACTGGTTACTAAGCTCCTACTATCTGTGATATTTACAGTTGAACCGCGGTCAAATCTTTCTGTTTCTTTCTGCCTGCTTGTCCCAAGGTTCCGCGGAGGATATTTGGATTAATGTGATTGGGTAAGACGCGGCCTCTTGTATTTGCATACAGTGGGGAAAAAAGTATTTAGTCAGCCACCAATTGTGCAAGTTCTCCCACTTAAAAAGATGAGAGAGGCCTGTAATTTTCATCATAGGTACACGTCAACTATGACAGACAAAATGAGAAAAAAAATCCAGAAAATCACATTGTAGGTTTTTTTTATGAATTTATTTGCAAATTATGGTGGAAAATAAGTATTTGGTCAATAACAAAAGTTTCTCAATACTTTGTTATATACCCTTTGTTGGCAATGACACAGGTCAAACGTTTTCTGTAAGTCTTCACACACTGTTGCTGGTATTTTGGCCCATTCCTCCATGCAGATCTCTTCTAGAGCAGTGATGTTTTGGGGCTGTCGCTGGGCAACACAGACTTTCAACTCCCTCCAAAGATTTTCTATGGGGTTGAGATCTGGAGACTGGCTAGGCTACTCCAGGACCTTGAAATGCTTCTTACGAAGCCACTCCTTCGTTGCCCGGGCGGTGTGTTTGGGATCATTGTCATGCTGAAAGACCCAGCCACGTTTCATCTTCAATGCCCTTGCTGATGGAAGGAGGTTTTCACTCAAAATCTCACGATACATGGCCCCATTCATTCTTTCCTTTACACGGATCAGTCGTCCTGGTCCCTTTGCAGAAAAACAGCCCCAAAGCATGATGTTTCCACCCCCATGCTTCACAGTAGGTATGGTGTTATTTGGATGCAACTCAGCATTCTTTGTCCTCCAAACACGACGAGTTGAGTTTTTACCAAAAAGTTCTATTTTGGTTTCATCTGACCATATGACATTCTCCCAATCCTCTTCTGGATCATCCAAATGCACTCTAGCAAACTTCAGACGGGCCTGGACATGTACTGGCTTAAGCAGGGGGACACGTCTGGCACTGCAGGATTTGAGTCCCTGGCGGCGTAGTGTGTTACTGATGGTAGGCTTTGTTACTTTGGTCCCAGCTCTCTGCAGGTCATTCACTAGGTCCCCGCAGGTGGTTCTGGCATTTTTGCTCACCGTTCTTGTGATCATTTTGACCCCACGGGGTGAGATCTTGCGTGGAGCCCCAGATCGAGGGAGATTATTAGTGGTCTTGTATGTCTTCCATTTCCTAATAATTGCTCCCACAGTTGATTTCTTCAAACCAAGCTGCTTACCTATTGCAGATTCAGTATTCCCAGCCTGGTGCAGGTCTACAATTTTGTTTCTGGTGTCCTTTGACAGCTCTTTGGTCTTGGCCATAGTGGAGTTTGGAGTGTGACTGTTTGAGGTTGTGGACAGGTGTCTTTTATACTGATAATAAGTTCAAATAGATGCCATTAATACAGATAACGAGTAGAGGACAGAGGAGCCTCTTAAAGAAGAAGTTACAGGTCTGTGAGAGCCAGAAATCTTGCTTGTTTGTAGGTGACCAAATACTTATTTTCCACCATAATTTGCAAATAAATTCATAAAAAATCCTACAATGTGATTTTCTGGATTTTTTTTCCTCAATTTGTCTGTCATAGTTGACGTGTACCTATGATGAAAATTACAGGCCTCTCTCATCTTTTTAAGCGGGAGAACTTGCACAATTGGTGGCTGACTAAATACTTTTTTCCCCCACTGTATCTGCAATATTAAGCTGATCCATCCCCCCCCCCCCCCCCCCCAAAAAAAAACATCCTCCAGCATGACCGGTTTGGCGGTGGGTCAGTCATGGTGTGGGGTGGCATTTCTTTGGGGGGCTGCACAGCCCTCCATGTGCTCGCCAGAGGTAGCCTGACTGCCATTAGGTACCAAGATGAGATCCTCAGACCCCTTGTGAGACCATATGCTGCTGCGGTTGGCCCTGGGTTCCTCCTAATGCAAGACAATGCTAGACCTCATGTGGCTGGAGTGTGTCAGCAGTTCCTGCAAGAGGAAGGCATTGATGCTATGGACTGGCCCGCCCGTTCCCCAGACCTGAATCCAATTGAGCACATCTGGGACATCATGTCTCGCTCAATCCACCAACGCCACGTTGCACCACAGACTGTCCAGGAGTTGGCGGATGCTTTAGTCCAGGTCTGGGAGGAGATCCATCAGGAGACCATCCGCCACCTCATCAGGAGCATGCCCAGGCGTTGTAGGGAGGTCATACAGGCACGTGGAGGCCACACACACTACTGAGCCTCATTTTGACTTGTTTTAAGGACATTACATCAAAGTTGGATCAGCCTGTAGTGTGGTTTTCCACTTTAATTTTGAGGGTGACTCAAAATCCAGACCTCCATGGGTTGATACATTTGATTTCCATTGAACATTTTTGTGTGATTTTGTTGTCAGCACATTCAACTATGTAAATAAAAAAGTATTTAATAAGATTATTTCATTCATTCAGATCTAGGATGTGTTATTTTAGTGTTCCCTTTATTTTTTTGAGCAGTGTATTTTCACATTTGTCACAAACTCCATATAGACCGTTAGAAACTTCTAGATAATCACATCAAAGAATACTTCAGTTAGTTTAACAATCCTCATTCAACCCAAATCAGCCTCTCCTTCATTCTCTCAGCGGAACCAAAAAAACATACTGTCATTTCCTAGGAGACTGCCATGCCTGTCCCAGAAAACACACTCTTCCACTACTTTCTACAATAACATCAAGCTCTATTTACCCCTTATAAATACTCTCCTGAGGATATTCATTATCACCTCTATGCTTACCTATTATTATTTCATTCAATGTTAGTAACATTCAATGTTAATAATTAAACACTTGCATCAAATATCCACTTCTGATAATGTTTTTAAAATGTAGTTCGCCTTTTTTAAATGTCATTTTGGTGCCATGATTCAAAATGTTACATGTCATTGGCTCCATCTCCTGGTCGTTTTGAGTATTTCATTTTATGGCGATTTATTACGTCAAAAGGTCCGTAACCCATTCCTCTCTTTTATAATGTCTTTCACACTACGGGACTAAAAACCCACTATCTTTATAATGTACCATACATTAAGGATGCCTTCCGCCCATTCTCTTTATGATGTCTGTAACATCAAGGGTTTACCTGAGTCCATCCAATGGAATCATCCACTCTCTTTATAATATAATATTTTAAATCATATTAAAGGTGCCCTGCGCCTTCTCTCACTATTCTGTTGCATTTACTCCTTACTTCGACCACACCCTAATTTGAATCATAGCACCATGTAATAGTCAAATTATATATTCCTCCTTACATCCTACTAAATAACTCAATACCACTCATCGTCCCCCTTCAAAAATATTGAATTTTAAAGTTCGTTACAGTTCAGCTTTACCACAGATAAGCAGAAGTCTGCTTACCTGTTAGTTGAGCTGTGAACTGCATCCTGTTCGTTTAGACGCCAATCTGTTATGATGAGTTTCTCAGGTATCAAAGAATCAAGGATGCAAGGATATTCTTAGACATTCTGTGGAGATTTCATACCAAGTATTTATTGAATCACGAGCTCGTGGGTTCATCTAACCAACGGACATAGCTTTGCCCTTCGTCAGTTGAACTCTTGACCAAAGGAAACACTCTACCTTATATACCCTTCTATTACCATCTTCCTGGCATACATCTGGCAAGTCTCCATGGGCACTCCCTGTCTTTGATGTTCATCACTCTTTACCCCAAGTCACTAACCTAAACATCACTCATGATATCCTAAACATCAGTAATCTCCTTTGACGTAATGGAATGTAGACTTTCTGTCTCCTAACCACTTATCTAGTAACTCTAACCTGTTCCCCACGATACTATGACATGACATCATTATACCATAAAAACATCATATCAGTTATGCATATGCTTTCCATATTTCTTCTGTAAGAAGCATTTCAATGTAGACCTATCCATAGGCCAATTACCACGTGTGTAAGGGGTTAAGGTGCAGGTATACAGCTTAGGGTTAGTTGTTCAACAGTTATGGCCTGGGGGTAAAAGCTATCTTGAAACCTGTTGGTCTGAGACTTAATGCTCCGGTAGTGCCTGCCAGAAGGTATCAGAGAGAGCGGACCATAGCTGGTGGCTGGAGTCCTTGACGATCTTCCGTGCCTTCCTCAGACACTGCCTGGTGTAGATGTCCTGCATGGCTGGTAGCTCGCCCCAGTGATGGTCTGGTCAGTCTTCACCACCCTCTGTAGAGCCTTGCGGTTCAGGGCATTGCAGTTGCCGTACCAGGCAGTGATGCAGCCAGACAGAATGCACTCAATGGTGCACCTGTAAAAGTTCCTGAGGATCTAAGGGGCCATGCCAAACCTCTTCAACAGTATGATGGGTACACTGAGCTCCTGACCCCCCCCCCCCCCCCCAGAGGTCGTCAGCAAACTTGATGATAGAGTTGCCGTTGTTTGGCCACATGTGAGTGAACAGGAAGGGACTAAGCACCCCCCCTGTTCCAGAGGTGTTGTTGCCTACCCTAACCATCTGGGGTCTGCCTGTCAGGAAGTCCAGGATCCACGATTTCAGTCACTTGAACTATAACCTCACTGACAAAGTTTTCTGAATTGAATGTAATATCTGATCAAAGACACACTGTGCAGCGCAATGTCTATTTTGTTTTCTTCAATCATTTGTATCAATGTTTTAAATAAATTAAATTATGATTGTATTTTCCCATCAGGGCGTCTTTGCTGACAGGGCGCTACCAGACCCGTTCAGGGGTGTACCCGGGGGTGTTCTACCCTGGTTCCCGCGGGGGTCTACCGCTGAACGAGACCACCATAGCGGAGGTGCTAAAGCCCCTGGGTTATGCCACGGCAGCCATGGGGAAATGGCACCTGGGGGTGGGGGAGAACGGGATGTACCTGCCCACCCGACAGGGCTTTGACCACTACCTGGGGGTCCCCTACTCCCATGACATGGTCAGTGTGTTCACTGGTAGTTGTTAATTGATTGGGTGATTGGTTGGGCGATAGATTGGTTAACTGGTAGTTACTATACTGAACCAAAATATAAACGCAAACATGTAAAGTGTTGGTCCCATGTTTAATTAGCTGAAGAAAAAAATTCCTAGAAATGTCCATACGCACAAAAAGCTTATTTCTCTCTTGTGCACAAATTCTCAAGTTTTGAAGAGTGTGCAATTGGCATGCTGACTGCAGGATATGTCGACCAGAGCTGTTGCCAGAGAATTGAATGTTAATTCCTCTACCATAAGCCACCTCCAATGTCGTTTTAGAGAATTTGGCAGTACGTCCAACCGGCCTCACAACTGCAGACGACGTCTAACCACGCCAGCCCAGGACCTCCACATCCGGCTTCTTCACATACGGGATTGTCTGAGACCAGCCACCTGGACAGTTGATGAAACCGTGGGTTTGCACAACTGAAGAATTTCTGCACAAACTGTCAGACACCGTCTCAGGAAGCTCATCTGCGTGCTCGGCGTCTTCACCAGGGTCTTGACCTGACTGCAGTTCGGCGTCGTGACCAACTTCAGTGGGCAAATGCTCACCTTAGATGGCCATTGCCGTGCTGGAGAAGTGTGCTCTTCACGGATGAATCCCAGTTTCAACTATACCGGGCAAATGACAGACATGGCGTCGTGTGGGAGAGTTGTTTGTGGATGTCAACATTGTGAACAGAGTGCCCCATGGTGGAGCTGGGGTTATGGTATGGGCAGGCATAAGCTACGGACAACGAACACAATCGCATTTTATCGATTTGCAATTTGAATGCACAGAGATACCTTGACGAGATCCTGAGGCCCATTGTCGTGCCATTCATCTGCTGCCATCACCTCATGTTTCAGCATGATAATGCACAGCTCCATGTCGCAAGGATCTGTACACAATTCCTGGAAGCTGAAAATGTCCCAGTTCTTCCATGGCCTGCATACTCACCAGACATGTCACCCGTTGAGCATGTTTGGGATGCTCTTGATCGACGTGTACGACAGTGTTCCAGTTCCCGCCAATATCCAGAAACTTTGCACAGCCATTGAAGAGGAGTGGGACAACATTCCACAGGCCACAATCATCAGCCTGATCAACTCTATGTGAAGGAGATGGTGATCACACCAGATACTGACTGGTTTTCTGATCCACGTCCCTACTTTAAAAAAAAGGTATCTGTGACCAACAGATGCATATCCGTATTCCCAGTCATGTGAAATCCATAGATTAGGGCCTAATTTATTTCAATTGACTGATTTCCTTATATGAACTGTAACTCAGTAAAATCTTTGAAATTGTTGCGTCTATATTTTTGTTCGGTGTACAGTTCATTCGGAAAGTATTCCGACCCCTTGACTTTTTCCACATTTTGTTAAATTACAGCCTTAATCTAAAATGGATTAAATCTTTTTTTCCCGTCATTAGTCCACATAAAATACCCCATAATGCCAAAGCAAAAACAGGTTTATAGAAAATGTAGCAAATAATAATAAAATAACAAAAATGAAATCACATTTTTATTTTATTTTTTTATTTATTTTTTATTTCACCTTTATTTAACCAGGTAAACCAGTTGAGAACAAGTTCTCATTTACAACTGCGACCTGGCCAAGATAAAGCAAAGCAGTGCGATAAAAACAACCACACAGAGTTACATATAGGGTAAAACAAAACAAAGTCAAAAATACAACAGAAATACATATAATATACAGTGTGTGCAAATTTAGCAAGTTATGGAGGTAAGGCAATAAAATAGGCTATAGTGCAAAATAATTACAATTAGTATTAACACTGGAATGATAGAATGTGCAAGAGATGATGTGCAAATAGAGATACTGGGGTACAAATGAGCAAAATAAATAACAATATAGGGATGAGGTAGTTGGGCGGGCTAATTTCAGATGGGCTGTGTACAGGTGCAGTGATCTGTAAGGTGCTCTGACAACTGATGCTTAAAGTTAGTGAGAGAGATACAGTGGGGAAAAAAAGTATTTAGTCAGCCACCAATTGTGCAAGTTCTCCCACTTAAAAAGATGAGAGAGGCCTGTAATTTTCATCATAGGTACACGTCAACTATGACAGACAAAATGAGGAAAAAAATTCCAGAATATCACATTGTAGGATTTTTAATGAATTTATTTGCAAATTATGGTGGAAAATAAGTATTTGGTCAATAACAAAAGTTTCTCAATACTTTGTTATATACCCTTTGTTGGCAATGACACAGGTCAAACGTTTTCTGTAAGTCTTCACAAGGTTTTCACACACTGTTGCTGGTATTTTGGCCCATTCCTCCATGCAGATCTCCTCTAGAGCAGTGATGTTTTGGGGCTGTCGCTGGGCAACACAGACTTTCAACTCCCTCCAAAGATTTTCTATGGGGTTGAGATCTGGAGACTGGCTAGGCCACTCCAGGACCTTGAAATGCTTCTTACGAAGCCACTCCTTCGTTGCCCGGGCGGTGTATTTGGGATCATTGTCATGCTGAAAGACCCAGCCACGTTTCATCTTCAATGCCCTTGCTGATGGAAGGAGGTTTTCACTCAAAATCTCACGATACATGGCCCCATTCATTCTTTCCTTTACACGGATCAGTCGTCCTGGTCCCTTTGCAGAAAAACAGCCCCAAAGCATGATGTTTCCACCCCCATGCTTCACAGTAGGTATGGTGTTCTTTGGATGCAACTCAGCATTCTTTGTCCTCCAAACACGACGAGTTGAGTTTTTACCAAAAAGTCATCTGACCATATCACATTCTCCCAATCCTCTTCTGGATCATCCAAATGCACTCTAGCAAACTTCAGACGGGCCTGGACATGTACTGGCTTAAGCAGGGGGACACGTCTGGCACTGCATGATTTGAGTCCCTGGCGGCGTAGTGTGTTACTGATGGTAGGCTTTGTTACTTTGGTCCCAGCTCTCTGCAGGTCATTCACTAGGTCCCCCCGTGTGTTTCTGGGATTTTTGCTCACCGTTCTTGTGATCATTTTGACCCCACGGGGTGAGATCTTGTATGGAGCCCCAGATCGAGGGAGATTATCAGTGGTCTTGTATGTCTTCCATTTCCTAATAATTGCTCCCACAGTTGATTTCTTCAAACCAAGCTGCTTACCTATTGCAGATTCAGTCTTCCCAGCCTGGTGCAGGTCTACAATTTTGTTTCTGGTGTCCTTTGACAGCTCTTTGGTCTTGGCCATAGTGGAGTTTGGAGTGTGACTGTTTGAGGTTGTGGACAGGTGTCTTTTATACTGATAACAAGTTCAAACAGGTGCCATTAATACAGGTAACGAGTGGAGGACAGAGGAGCCTCTTAAAGAAGAAGTTACAGGTCTGTGAGAGCCAGAAATCTTGCTTGTTTGTAGGTGACCAAATACTTATTTTCCACCATAATTTGCAAATAAATTCATTAAAAATCCTACAATGTGATTTTCTGGAATTTTTTTCCTAAATTTGTCTGTCATTGTTCACGTGTACCTATGATGAAAATTACAGGCCTCTCTCATCTTTTTAAGTGGGAGAACTTGCACAATTGGTGGCTGACTAAATACTTTTTTTCCCCACTGTAAGTGTCTCCAGCTTCAGAGATTTTTGCAATTTGTTCCAGTCATTGGCAGCAGAGAACTGGAAGGAATTGCGGCCAAAGGAGGTGTTGGCTTTGGGGATGACCAGTGAGATATACCCGCTGGAGCGCAGACTACGGGTGGGTGTTGCTATGGTGACCAATGAGCTAAGATAATGCGGGGATTTGCCTAGCAGTGATTTTATAGATGGCCTGGAGCCAGTGGGTTTGGCGACGAATATGTAGTGAGGACCAGCCAACAAGAGCGTACAGGTCACAGTGGTGGGTATTATATGGGGCTTTGGAGACAAAACGGATGGCACTGTGATAGACTACATCCAATTTGCTGAGTAGAGTGTTGGAGGCTATTTTGTAAATGACATCGCCGAAGTCAAGGATCGGTAGGATAGTCCGTTTTACGAGGGCATGTTTGGCAGCATGAGTGAAGGAGGCTTTGTTGCGAAATAGGAAACCGATTCTAGATTTAACTAGAGTAGATTTTACATAAGTATTCAGACCCTTTACTCTGTACTTTGTTGAAGCACCTTTGGCAGCGATTACAGCCTTGATTCTTCTACAAGCTTGGCCCACCTGTATTTGGGGAGTTTCTCCCATTCTTCTCTACAGATCCTCTCAAGCTCTGTCAAGTTGGATGGGGAGCGTCGCTGCATAGCTATTTTCAGGTCTCTCCAGAAATATTTGTTTGGGTTCAAGTCCAGGCTCTGGCTAGGCCACTCAAGGACATTCAGAGACTTGTCCCGAAGCCACTCCTGCGTTGTCTTGGCTGTGTGCTTAGGGTTGTTGTCTTGTTGACCTTAGAAGGTGAACTTTTGCCATAGTCTGAGGTCCTGAGCGCTCTGGAGCAGGTTCTCATCAAGGATCTCTCTGTACTTTGCTCTGTTCATCTTAGCCTCAATCCTGACTAGTCTCCCAGTCCCTGCTGCTGAAAACCGTGCCCACAGCATGATGCTGCCACCACCATGCTTCACTGTAGGGATGGTTCCAGGTTTCCCCCAGATGTGACGCTTGTCAATCAGGCCAAAGAGTTCAATCTTGGTTTCATCAGACCAGAGAATCTTGTTTCTCATGGTCTGAGAGTCTTTAGGTGCCTTTTGGCAAACTCCAAGCGGGCTGTCATGTGACTTTTTACTAAGGAGTGGCTTCCGTCTGGCCACTCTACCATAAAGGCCTGATCTGGTGGAGTGCTGCAGAGATGTGTTTCCTTCTGGAAGGTTCTCCAATCTCCACAGAGGAACTCTGAAACTCTGTCAGAGTGACCATCGGGTTCTTGGTCACCTCCCTACCAAGGCCCTTCTCGCCCGATTGCTCAGTCTTTGTGGTTCCAAACGTCTTCCATTTAAGAATGATGGAGGCCACTGTGTTTTTGGGGACCTTCAATGCTGCAGAAATGTTGTGTTACCCTTCCCCAGATCTGTGCCTTGAGACAATCCTGTCTCGGAGCTCTACGGACAATTCCTTCGACCTCATGGCTTGGTTTTTGCTCTGACATGCACTGTCAACTGTGGGGCCTTTATATAGACAGGTGTGTGCCTTTCCAAATCATGTCCAATCAATTAAATTTACCACAGGTGGACTCCAAGTTGCAGAAACATCTCAAGGATGATCAATGGAAACAGGATGCACCTGAGCTCAATTTCGAGTCTCATAGAAAAGGGTCTGAATAATTATGTAAATAAGGTATTTCAGCTTTTTAATTTTTTGTAAATGTGCAACATTTCTAAAAACCTGTTTTTGCTTTGTCATTATGGGGTATTGTGTGTAGATTGAGACATTTTTATTTAATACATTTTAGAATAGGGCTGTAACGTAACAATGTGGAAAGAGTCAAGAGGTCTGAAAACTTTCCGAAGGCACTGTATACAGTGAGGGGAAAAAAGTATTTGATCCCCTGCTGATTTTGTATGTTTGCCTACTGACAAAGAAATCATCAGTCTATAATTTTAATGGTAGGTTTATTTGAACAGTGAGAGACAGAATAACAACAACAAAATCCAGAAAACGCATTTCAAAAATGTAATAAATTGATTTGCATTTGTAATGAGGGAAATAAGTATTTTACCCCCTTTCAATCAGAAAGATTTCTGGCTCCCAGGTGTCTTTTATACAGGTAACGAGCTGAGATTAGGAGCACACTCTTAAAGGGAGTGCTCCTAATCTCAGCTTGTCACCTGTATAAAAGACACCTGTCCACAGAAACAATCAATCAATCCGATTCCAAACTCTCCACCATGGCCAAGACCAAAGAGCTTTCCAAGGATGTCAGGGACAAGATTGTAGACCTACACAAGGCTGGAATGGGCTACAAGACCATCGCCAAGCAGCTTGGTGAGAAGGTGACAACAGTTGGTGTGATTATTCGCAAATGGAAGAAACACAAAATAACTGTCAATCTCCCTCGGCCTGGGGCTCCATGCAAGATCTCACCTTGTGGAGTTGCAATAATCATGAGAACGGTGAGGAATCAGCCCAGAACTACACGGGAGGATCTTGTCAATGATCTCAAGGCAGCTGGGACCATAGTCACCAAGAAAACAACACACTACGCCGTGGTAACACACTACGCCGTGAATGACTGAAATCCTGCAGCGCCCGCAAGGTCCCCCTGCTCAAGAAAGCACATATACAGGGCCGTCTGAAGTTTGCCAATGAACATCTGAATGATTCAGAGGAGAACTGGGTGAAAGTGTTGTGGTCAGATGAGACCAAAATCGAGCTCTTTGGCATCAACTCAACTCGCCGTGTTTGGAGGAGGAGGAATTCTGCCTATGACCCCAAGAACACCATCCCCACCGTCAAACATGGAGGTGGAAACATTATGCTTTGGGGGTGTTTTTCTGCTAAGGGGACAGGACAACTTCACAGCATCAAAGGGATGATGGACAGGGCCATGTACCGTCACATCTTGGGTGAGAACCTCCTTCCCTCAGCCAGGGCATTGAAAATAGGTCGTGGATGGGTATTCCAGCATGACAATGACCCAAAACACACGGCCAAGGCAACAAAGGAGTGGCTCAAGAAGAAGCACATTAAGGTCCTGGAGTGGCCTAGCCAGTCTCCAGTCCTTAATCCCATAGAAAATCTGTGGAGGGAGCTGAAGGTTCGAGTTGCCAAATGTCAGCCTCGAAACCTTAATGACTTGGAGAAGATCTGCAAAGAGGAGTGGAACAAAATCCCTCCTGAGATGTGTGCAAACCTGGTGGCTAACTACAATAAACGTCTGACCTCTGTGTTTGCCAACAAGGGTTTTGCCACCAAGTACTAAGTCATGTTTTGCAGAGGGGTCAAATACTTATTCTCTCATTAAATGCAAATCAATTTATAACATTTTTGACATGCGTTTTTCTGGATTTTTTGTTGTTATTCTGTCTCTCACTGTTCAAATAAACCTACCATTAAAATTATAGACTGATCATGTCTTTGTCAGTGGGCAAACGTACAAAATCAGCAGGGGATCAAATACTTTTTTCCCTCACTGTATTGTCAGTGTCTCTCTTACATTTTTTTGGTCTTCATTGCCACAGCTAAGGGAGAGAAAGGACATAGACACTTTTGCCTTAGTTTGCTCTCTTTCTCAATCTTGCTATCATCCTCTTCTCCCTCTCTGCCTCCCCCTTTGTTTGTATCTCTCTTAACTCTCTCTCCTTGTCTCTTTCTTTCTTAGGGACCCTGTCAGAACCTGACATGTTTCCCTCCGGACGTTAAATGCTTCGGACACTGTGACGTCGGCGTGGTAACCATCCCACTAATGCACAATGATGTTATCAAGCAGCAGCCTGTGGACTTCCTGGATCTAGAGAGGGCTTACAGCGACTTCGCCACAGACTTCATCACCCAGTCTACCAGGAAGAAACAACCCTTCTTCCTCTACTACCCCTCTCATGTAATCGTCTCTTCTTACTCTACTACTCTCTCATGTAATAATCTCTTCTTCCTCTACTACCCTCCCATGTGGGAAGCTAGCAATCATTTCAAGTTCAAAGGTAGTGGTTGCTCCTCCAACAACTTTCCAGGTGAACAGCCCCCCCCCCCTCTGTCCTCCAGCACACCCACTACCCCCAGTATGCAGGCCCAGCAGCGGCAGGGCGGTCTCGTAGGGGTCCGTTTGGTGATGCTCTGCTGGAGTTTGACTCTACAGTAGGGAACCTGCTCTCAGCTCTGGAACAGACTGGAGTCCTCAACAACACTCTCATACTGTTCACTGCTGATAATGGGTAGGAACTATGTTGGTGTGTGTGATGGTGTGTCAGTGTAGTTTACTAGTAGCGTGTATGGATATTATGTAATAGTTTAGTTGCCTACCGTTTGTGTTTACTACTGGTTTTACAACAAATGTGAAAGGACTAAGAGCCTTTCACATTTTAACTTTTGGTGAATATCTCTCCGCTCCCTCTCTCTACCCATCCAGACCTGAATTGATGCGTATGTCTCGGGGGGGTAATGCTGGTCCTCTGAAGTGTGGTAAGGGCACAACCTACGAAGGGGGCATGAGAGAACCTGCCATCGCTTACTGGCCTGGGACCATCACACCAGGTCTGTCAGGAGAGATATGTAGTCCTTTCAACTACAAAATACATGCATCATCACACTCACCCACCCATATTGGCTGAATGTTGTAGCCTTCAAGATTCCTTGTTTAATTTTAAAGTCAAATTTTTTGCAGGCTTATCAAACTGCTGACAGGTGTGTATGGGGGTATTCACAGAGCAGGAGTTAGTTGGTGTGGGCACATTTAGCCAGGCCCCCTTTGTTACAGCCTTATTCTAAAATGTATTAAATGTTTTGTTTGCCCTCATCAATCTACACACAATGCCCCATAATGACAAAGCAAAAACAAGTTTAAAAAAATAAAACTGAAATATCACATTTACATAAGTATTCAGACCCTTTACTCTGTACTTTGTTGAAGCACCTTTGGCAGCGATTACAGCCTTGAGTCTTCTTGGGTATAACGCTACAAGCTTGGCACACCTGTATTTGGGGAGTTTCTCCCATTCTTCTCTGCAGATCCTCTCAAGCTCTGTCAGGTTGGATGGGGAGCGTCGCTGCACAGCTATTTTCAGGTCTCTCCAGGGTTCAAGTCCGGGCTCTGGCTAGGCCACTCAAGGACATTCAGAGACTTGTCCCGAAGCCACTCCTGCATTGTCTTGGCTGTGTGCTTAGGGTTGTTGTCCTGTTAGAAGGTGAACTTTTGCCATAGTCTGAGGTCCTGAGTGCTCTGGAGCAGGTTTTCATCAAGGATCTCTCTGTACTTTGCTTCGTTAATCTTTGCCTCGATTCTGTCTCCCAGTCCCTGCCGCTGAAAAACATCCCCACAGCATGATGCTGCCATCACCATGCTACACCGTAGGGATGGTGCCAGGTTTCCTCCAGACGTGACACTTGGCATTCAGGCCAAAGAGTTAAATCTTGGTTTCATCAGACCAGACAATCTTGTTTCTCATGGTCTTAGGTGCCTTTTGGCAAACTCCAAGCGGGCTGTCATATGCCTTTTACTGAGGAGTGGCTTCCGTCTGGCCACTCTACCGTAAAGGCCTGATTGGTGGAGTGCTGCAGAGATGGTTGTCCTTCTGGAAGGTTTTCCCATCTCCACAGAGGAACTCTAGAGCTTTGTCAGTGACCATCAGGTTCTTGGTCAGCTCCCTGTACCAAGGCTCTTCTCCCCCGATTGCTCAGTTTGGCCGGGCGGCCAGCTTTAAGAAGAGTCTTGGTGGTTCCAAACTTCTTCCATTTAAGAATGATGGAGGCCACTGTGTTCTTGGGGACCTTCTATGCTGCAGACATTTTTTGGTACCCTTCACCAGATCTGTGCCTCGACAAAATCCTGTCTCAGAGCTCTACGGACAATTCCTTCAACCTCAAGGCTTGGTTTTGCTCTGACATGCACTGTCAACTGTGGGACCTTATATAGACAGGTGTGTGCCTTCCCAAATCATGTCCAATCAATTGAATTTACCACAGGTAGACTCCAATCAAGTTGTAGAAACATCTCAAGGATGGTCAATGGAAACAGGGTGCACCTGAGCTCAAATCGGAGGGCCTGTTGTCTGGACCTATGGCAGTCTCTATGGGGGTGCCACAGGGTTCAATTCTCGGGCCGACTCTTTTCGCTGTGTATATCAATGATGTCGCTCTTGCTGCTGGTGACTCTCAGATCCACCTCTATGCAGACGACACCATTTTGTATACATCTGGCCCTTCACTGTGTTAACAAACCTCCAAACAAGCTTCAATGCCATACAACACTCCTTCCGTAGCCTCCAACTGCTCTTAAACACTAGTAAAACTAAATGCATGCTCTTCAATCGAACGCTGCTGTTACCCGCCCACCCGACTAGAATCACTACTCTCGGCGGGTCTGACCTAGAGTATGTGGACAACTACAAATACCTAGGTGTCTGGTTAGACTGTAAACTAGCCTTCCAGACTCACATTAAGCATCTCCAATCCAAAGTTAAATCTAGAATCAGCTTCCTATTTCGCAACAAAGCCTCCTTCACTCATGCTGCCAAACATGCCCTCGTTAAACAGACTATCCTACCGATCCTTGACTTCGGAGATATAGCCTCCAACACTCTACTCAGCAAATTGGATGTAGTCTATCACAGTGCCATCCGTTTTGTCACCAAAGCCCCATATACTACCCACCACTGTGACCTGTACGCTCTTGTTGGCTGGTCCTCACTACATATTCGTCGCCAAACCCACTGGCCCCAGGTCATCTATAAATCACTGCTAGGCAAATCCCCGCCTTATCTTAGCTCATTGGGCACCATAGCAACACCCACCCGTAGTATGCGCTCCAGCTCTCACTGGTCATCCCCAAAGCCAACAACTCCTTTGGCCGCTATTCCTTCCAGTTCTCTGCTGCCAATGACTGGAACAAACTGCAAAAATCTCCGAAGCTGGAGACTCTTATCTCCCTCACTAACTTTAAGCATCAGTTGTCAGAGCAGCTTACCGATCACTGCACCTGTACACAGCCCATCTGAAATTAGCCCACCCAACTACCTCATCCCCATATTGTTATTTATTTTGCTCATTTGCACCCCAGTATGTCTATTTGCACATCATCTCTTGCACCTCTATCATTCCAGTGTTAATACTAAATTGTAATTATTTTGCACTATGGCCTATTTATTGCCTTACCTCCATAACTTGCTATATTTGCACACACTGTATATACAGTATCTCACAAAAGTGAGTACACCCCTCACATTTTTGTAAATATTTGAGTATATCTTTTCATGTGACAACACTGAAGAAATGACACTTTGCTACAATGTAAAGTATTGAGTGTACAGCTTGTATAACAGTGTAAATGTGCTGTCCCCTCAAAATAACACACAGCCATTAATGTCTAAACCGCTGGCAACAAAAGTGAGTACACCCCTAAGTGAAAAAGTCAAAATTGGGCCCAATTAGCCATTTTCCCTCCCCGGTGTCATGTGACTCGTTAGTGTTACAAGGTCTCAGGTGTGAATGGGGAGCAGGTGTGTTACATTTGGTGTCATCGCTCTCACACTCCCTTATACTGGTCACTGGAAGTTCAACATGGCACCTCATGGCAAATAACTCTCTGAGGATCTGAAAAAAAGAATTGTTGCTCTACATAAAGATGGGCTATAAGAAGATTGCCAAGACCCTGAAACTGAGCTGTAGCACAGTGGCCAAGACCATACAGCGGTTTAACTGGACAGGTTCCACTCAGAACAGGCCTCGCCATGGTCGACCAAAGAAGTTGAGTGCACGTGCTCAGCGTCATATCCAGAGGTTGCCTTTGGGAAATTGACGTATGAGTGCTGCTAGCATTACTGCAGAGGTTGAAGGGGTGGGGGGTCAGTCTGTCAGTGCTCAGACTATATGCCGCACACTGCATCAAATGGGTCTGCATGGCTGTCGTCCCAGAAGGAAGCCTCTTCTAAAGATGATGCACAAGAAAGCCCGCAAACAGTTTGCTGAAGACAAGCAGACTAAGGACATGGATTACTGGAACCATGTCCTGTGGTCTGATGAGACCAAGATAAACTTATTTGGTTCAGATGGTGTCAAGTGTGTGTGGCGGCAACCAGGTGAGGAATACAAAGACAAGTGTGTCTTGCCTACAGTCAAGCATGGTGGTGGGAGTGTCATGGTCTGGGGCTGCATGAGTGCTGCCGGCACTGGGGAGCTACAGTTCATTGAGGGAACCATTAATGCCAACATGTACTGTGTCATACTGAAGCAGAGCTGGAAAATGATGGTGGCCACACAAAATATTGACACTTTGGGCCCAATTTGGATATTTTCATTTAGGGGTGTACTCACTTTTGTTGCCAGCAGTTTAGACATTAATGGCTGTGTGTTATGTTATTTTGAGGGGACAGCAAATGTACACTGTTATACAAGCTGTACACTCACTACTTTACATTGTAGCAAAGTGTCATTTCTTCAGTGTTGTCACATGAAAAGATATACTCAAATATTTACAAAAATGTGAGGGGTGTACTCACTTTTGTGAGATATTGTATATTTTCTGTTGTATTTTTGACTTTGTTTTGTTTACCCCATATATAACTCTGTTTTTTATCACACTGCTTTGCTTTATCTTGGCCAGGTCGCAGTTGTAAATGAGAACTTGTTCTCAACTGGTTTACCTGGTTAAATAAAGGTGAAATAAAAATAAAATGTCATGTCTCATAGCAAAGGGTCTGAATACTAATGTAAATAAGGTATTATTTTCTTATTTTCTTCATTCGCAAAAATTTCAAACCAATTTTTTGCTTTGTCATTATGTCGTTATTGTGTGTAGAATGCTGTGGAAAATGTTTTATTTAATCCATTTTAGAATAAGGCTGTAACGTAACAAAATTTGGAAAAAGTAAAGGGGTCTGAATACTTTCCGAATGCACTGTACATCTAATTTGAACTACATTTCCTAGGGGTCACCCATGAGCTGGCCAGCACCCTGGACGTCATGCCCACCATCGCAGGGCTGGCGGGGGCCAAACTACCAATGGTGCAGCTGGACGGCGTGGACATGATGGACATCTTGGTCAACCACGGACCGGTATGGGAGACAGTATTCACTTCATACTCAGAGTGTAGTTAAATGCCATTTGGGCTGAAGAATAGAAGCATAATGTGTTCTTGACTTAAACACTTGCTCCCTGTGTGCCTGGACATTGTTATTCATACCTTTTTAACTTCCTGTGTTGTAGAGTAAGAGAGAGGCCATGATGTTCTACCCTACAGACCCTAATGAGAAGTACGGCCTGTTCGCTCTCAGGCTGGGCAAATACAAGGCTCACTTCTACACACGCGGTAACTGTCATTACTGCAGAATAGGGTACTCCCAAAGTTCCTGTTTTGTGTTCCTGATGTGATTGCTGTGCTCTTTTGTAATTAGCCTTTTAACAACAAGATGCATTCCTAAACAATATGGCAAAGGGGCCAGCAAGAGGCTGAAATGGAACCTGGCCTAAATCTAAAATGTCTATCTGAACCACCTTCCCTCGTTGTCTGTCCCTCAGGTGCAGGCCACAGTGAGACCACCCCAGACCAGGACTGTCACATAATCTCCTTCCTGAAGCCCCATGATCCTCCCCTGCTGTTTGACCTGGAGTCTGACCCCAGTGAGAACTACCCCTTGTCCCCACTGGGACGCCCCGACCTGCAGGCCCTGCTGCAGAGGATAGGCGCGGTCAAGGAACAGTTTGAAGCCTCCATGGAGTTTGGGGAGAGCCAGATCGGGAAAGGAAGCGACCCTGATCTAGAGCCCTGCTGCACCCCACACTGCACCCCCAAACCTTCGTGCTGCCAGTGTGGCTGATGCACCCTCAAACCTACAGTATTGCTTGTACTATACCTTTTGTAAGACTAGTTCTAGTACCTCTATTACTGTGGATGGGGTACCCCAAACGTAACCTCTGAAAGTGTGGAAAGACAGTTATTTAAGCCATATGAGAGACTGTGGGAAGCAGGACTTTATCAAACATTAGAAATGGTACATCCAGTATGGCCACCGTTCCACATGAGTGTCTGATCTAGCAATTCTAATTTTATGGATGAGGGCAGCCTCATGTGGACAAACCCTGCATTCCAGTGACAACAACACCCAAAGACTACTGTAATGGGCCCAGTTTCCGAAAAGCATCTTAAGGCTAAGTTCATCGTTAGAACCTTCGTAGGAGCATCATTAAATCTCCGAGCTGTTTCCCAAAACCATTGTTACTAAAGTTGCACTTGAAAACACTTGTCACTTACCGACTGCCTCAGACCTTTATACACAGAAGACCTCTGCTAAACATAAAATCAAGATGTTTATCTGTCTCTGTGACCGCTGGGAACTTCACAACGAAGTTGACTACAAATACAAAGTTGCCAATGTCACTGCAATTTTTACAAACAAGCGAAGGATAAAAAGATGCTTCAAATGACATCTGAGAAAACTGCATTAAAATAATAATTGCCTACAGTATAGGCTACAGGCCTATATAATTCAATAATATTTAAATACATTTCATGTTCATTCAATTGAGTTCATTTTAGGCTGTCTAATTTTTGCCTCAAAATATTTCATGATGTGTTACAACCTCACAATGATGTGTGCCAGATCTTGCGTTATTATAGCGTAGGCATTAGAATAAGCCACCTCAACATTTGCAGTAATAGGTGATATCTTCCGTCAACAGTATTGTGGAATAATTCTGTTAATGTCAGATTTGAAAGGAGAACGCGGATCTGGGAGCAGCGCTGCCTTTCTTTTGATCCTATCAGTATCGACACTATGCCTCAACGACGCACTTAGCAACTGTTCTCCATAAGTGGTGTTTTGGGAAACGCATGTTACATCTTCGGCCGTTGCATCGTTAAAACACTCGTAAGCCTAAATTCCATCGCTATCAGGAAACCGGGCCCTGGCTAGTTTTCCTGATAGCGGAACGGTGTGTATTCTTTTTAAATGCAGGAGTATATTAATACACTATTTTATAGTGAGAGAGAATGTAACATCTTAAACCAAGGAGAAGTGGTAGCTAAGTTCAAACCTATCTTTACTAACTAGACAGACCTTCATGTATCAAATTGTACAAAGTTAAAGTGAATGGTATTTTACAGATGACAATTATTTTATATAGCCTAGCTACTCTATAATCAGGTTGTTGATCCGAACTTCAGATACATGATTGTAACTTGGACCTAAATCATGCATTAATGTTGACATCTGAATTACAGTGGCAGATCTGAATTTAGGATTTGACCCTATAAATGAACAGATGATTCATAGACACTATTATTGTGATCCAGTAGCACGGTCACACAAGCACAAGAAAGAGACAGTCAGACGCATTTGGACATCAAGCATATATTTTATTCATAAGACCTAACCCATGACAAGGCAGATTGTATTTTTTTAAACTTTTAGATTTGTACAAGTCCTCATTTTTAAAAGATACAGTATAGATACATTTGTTTTTGTCACATACTGAAGCTCTAGTTATACAGTGAAGAATCTTGTTTGTTTATGTATTAAAGTCCAAAGTTTAGATTAACTGGATGTTTGAGCTGCTATACAGGACTAGGGAATCATTGGGGGTTGGTTGGTGTACTGTAGCTATCAGGGAAGATGGAAGGGATTCAACTAAGCTCTTACAAGACAGAAAAACTAAAGACAAAACAAACTGGTACAGGTAAGAGATGGAGCATGTCTGGAGCTCAAAGCCATGGGCTACATTGGCAAGATGCGATAGGTTCCCGTATGAAAGCTGTTTTTAATTGGTTCAGCTCCACTACTCTGCTCTATCAGCAGATTGGCCAGCGATTGGGTGGGTATGTCATTGGATCTCAGCAAGGTCAACGGTGACACTACATGTGTACCCTAATGATGATTTCACATGTCACAGATGTGCCTAAAGGGGTGCTGCTAAAGCCTGTATGTGGGGTGAATGTCTGAGTTGGCAAGAACTCAAAATGTCACCTTTATGGTTGACGTAGAGACAACGAGTGGAAACGCAACACACTCAAATTAAAACAAGAACCGGTCATTTTAAAATTGACCGTGGTTTTCATGTTTGTCATAATTTTTGAATTTCTCTTATTTTAAATATTAATTTCAATAACATACTTAACGTAAAGGGGACAGTACAATCTTCTCAACTCTTTATAGTATTTACAGGATCTAACTGACAGCGAAACACATTTAGATTACACACTCTCCCCACTGTCACTAATGATAAACTGGTCACCATGGAGGTGGCACGACTCAACTTATCACCAGCAGATCAACGATGCTCTTGTCTACATTATCCTTTTTTGGCTGTTTAATATTTGTTGAAGAATAAAAGCAGTAGAAGAAGTGAGTCCCTTGTCTACTCTACTGTACTCAACCTGATATTGGGGATTGCAGTAGGATTCCTGTTTCAATTAATTCTGTGTTCTCCACCTCTACTCCATATGTTTGATGTTGTACTGTAGGCTACAGTATGCTAATTGAACTGGAAAAGACAACTGTAAAAGGTATAATGTCCAACTTTAAGTAAGCAAACCATGTACTGTATATTGGCTTACCTATGACCAGAGGGAAATCAAGGAGTACATTTGGAAAGGTAATTTGTCAGGCAGAATATGAGCCATTAGCCAATATGAGACACTGTAAAATCAACTTCTAAAACTGTGCTGGGCAGACCAAAGAAAGTACCTCTTTCAATGGCCTCACAAACCCTCACCACTTCAATATCAAACTTTTTTCTAACTTAAACTGATCCACCTCAAAGTGAAGGTGGAGGGACACAAGAGAAGAATGCACCACTACATTCTAAGCATTATCTATCTGATGTCTTTACTGTGGCCTTATTCTCAGTGGACTCATCAACATAAACGGGCCGACACCTGTACAATAGTGTTTCCTGTGAGGAAGTAGTATAATATAATAATAATATACCATTTAGCAGACACTTTTATCCAAAGCGACTTACAGTCATGCGTGCATAACTTTTTTTTTGTGTGTATGGGTGGTCCCGGGGATCAAACCCACTACCTTGGCGTTACAAGCGCCGTGCTCTACCAGCTGAGCTACAGAGGACCACCCATACACAAAAAAAAAATGTATGCACGCATGACTGTAAGTCGCTTTGGATAGTAGTGTTGAACTATCGGACCCGTGGGATTATGGCTTCTGAAGAGGACCAACTGTCCTCGACCTGATATTCAGACTGATTATCTCTAAACATTGTGTAGTATCTGTACATCAGGACACTTCAGTGTTGGATCAGATGGAAATGAATATAACTGGTAATTTATATTATACTGTATTTCCACCATTAGAAGTCCAGAAGCTAAATTATTATTTATTCTCGCTCTCTGTTCCCAACGTGCTGACAAGTTTTCACCCCAGTTTCCATAGCAACCTCTTCCTGCCATTCAGCTGTGTCTGGAGATTTGATTAGTGAAGCTGTTTTCCGGTGACAGATGACTACTGCGACTGTTCTGGAACATGGTAGTCAGGGCTTACTATCAGATCAACATTGTCAACTTAAGTCAGAACCTTTTAAATGTCAAAATGACCAACATGATGAAGAGCCTCCATTGCAAAACTGAGGCTTCATTCCATTTTGGCCCCTAGTCCCTTCCCCTAGCTCATATTCAGTATTTACACACAGATCTGAAAGAATCTGGATAGGTGTAAGAAATATGATGGAAACTCCATTTAGCTCCATTGAAGGGCTAAGTGTGGCCATCACCACATCGCTCACACCTGCCCAGTTCTTTCAGATCTGACGCCAGCAAATTTCAAAACTATGGATTTCAAAATGGTGGACTTCAAATAAGCTAGGGGAAGGGACTAGAGAAGTGAAATGTAACCAGGCATATGCCACAACACAACCAGTGAAAGGATAAGCTCTCTGAAATAGTCCCACTCCCACCAATGGTTCCCGACCCACTGTTTGATAAACACTGGGCTAAAACATCATCCCTCTCTTCCTTCCTATTTCATTTTCTTTCTTCTCTTCATCTTGTTTGATTATTGGTTGTGGATGCTACTTACATAGTTTATATGCATGAGGTGTCTGTATTTCTCTACTGCCTATACATATATTTACAGAACACACAATGTCTCAAATACGATAAAGGGGTTAGCTCGGACCAAGACTGTACTCTCGCTCTACTTCGCTCCAATGTAACTATCAGTCTAACAGCAGTTTGTCGATATTGAGCAATTACATATTTACACCAAACCACATCTGACCAAATAATATGATCCAGGTCCTCTTCAATGTTGAGCTGGTTTTGTGTCCTAATAGCTCTGTGTGTGTTTGTGTGTGCATTACCCTCCTAACCATGCATTGGAACATGTGAAAAAGCAGTAGTAGGAATGTAATTGTTGTACTTGTTTTTTAAACCGAGGATGCATCATATCTAAAATAACAGGTGCCAAGCCTCTTATTCCTATAACTGTATCATTAGAAAAAAAGGTCAAAGAAATACGCAATCCATCTAGAAGAGGGAAAATAAACAAACAAATGAATCAATAAATAAAACACGTAGCATACTGTAGAACTGAAATTAAACATTTCAGTTTTAGAGAGAGATATAGGGGGTATTTTGCAATGGAGAGAAGAAGAGCCACCAGCATCTGGTGATTGAGATTGATAAACATACAAGCAGCAGCAGGAGGAAGAAGAGAAGACTGTTGTCATGGCAACACTTCCTACTTCCTGCCTGCTCTACTCCAGGTAGATGTCTTCAGTGGGGCAGGCGTACTCCAGGTGCTCCTGGTAATACTCCTGGAAAGCCCGTCTAGAGAGGGAGACAGACAACGGAGGGATTAGTTTAGCAAACAATGTCCAACTAAATCACCCAGAGATAATGTCTCCACCAGACTCACACCATGGTTCTAGTCCAAGATGAGCCTCAGCTTAGTACATTTCCCCATACCATCATTACTATATAATCATGACTGTTAATGTCTGAAGCCTTTCTGTCCCCTACCCTGACTCACTCACCAGCCCATCCCTGCTCTGCTATGTCGACCTTGAACAATGGCCATCTTTCATAATTCAAACCCGATATGCCTGATTCAGACAAGATTAACAGGACAGGAACTGCGGTCATTATAAACCCCAGCTCATTCTCTCTCTCTTTCTCTCTGAGAATGACTCAATACTTTTTAATGTACTTTCTTCTCGTCTCCATCGTACCAACTGAACTAAAGGGCTTAATAGGTAGGCTATGGTTTCCACCATTATTATTCCGACCACAGTATGCCAGTTTTTTCACATCAGCAGTAATGACAGAGATTGGGAGATAAAGCTGTGAAAGCATTGTTAGATTACTGGAGAACAGCCAATGCTACAACTTCAATAAAACACATAATGCTGTGGAGAGACAGAGTATCGGAGAGTGCTTTCCTTATCACTCATCATCCCTAGGTTTACAAGCACAGTTTAAAAGGGAATGAGAATCATGTGAGAGGGAAACACTGAGGTACTGTGTGTGACTCACCCAACACTCTCTGCCACAAGCCGCATTGACTCCTGGGAGACGAAGACGTGGCAGGCGAACCTGTTCAGCATGGGGTGCTTAGTGATGAAGCCAAAGTAGCTGAGGAGAGAGCGAGAGGGGGAATTAGGGGAAGTGTAAATAAATCAAGTTTATATTCTTGGTGTTTTATCGTCTAATGAAATGTATCCTCAACGTGTATTTTCATACCAATTGTTTTTAGGATGGCAGCCACAGAAAGAGATGTTCTTCATCTGGAAGAAGTGACTACATCTGTCAAACTGGAGAGAGAGAGAGAGAGAGAGATGCTCATATTATGTGGTCGTTTCAGCCTTCTTTTGAATGTGCTACAGTCACTCGAGTGTCTGCCATTTTAATTTTATTTTTTGCACATGTCCCTTACCCTCCCCCCTTTCCCCTGCACCCCTCACTTACACTCCTCCCCATCTCTCATCCCTTCATCTCTCACCTCATCCATAGTGTCATATTCGTCCTCCAGGCTCATCACCAGTTTAACCCCTTGTAGACTGATCTCCAGCTCACACAGAGAGGGGGGCCGCAAATGGACCGTCCGCTTCCTCGCTATCGCAATCTGACAGAGAAGTAAGAGAGGGTTCAATACAGATCAACTTTTTTAAACACTGTCTCATTCAGACTATTGAGCACCCTATGACCTGTAGGTTCGCCCAACCCAGAGTGATGCATTTTCTGTTCACCTTTTGCATGGCAGCACAGAGGATGCCATTGCCTTGGTGATAGGGCACTTCCACAGAACCCAGGAACTGAACGCTGAAACTGTCCATCCAGGCTGGGTTCCTCTTCATTCCTACAGGAAGTGTACACACAGGAAGTGTACACACAGGAAGTGACATCAGATGGGAAGCATTTATCTTATTGACATTCAGGTTATGTGTCTCCAGTGATGAAATACTGTCAACACTTGACATACTCAGTATAGAAAGGGAATTTTCCAGTAGAATTGTGCTCCTACCAGACACGTCTCTCTATAAAAATAGTTTTTATTGTAACAGATAGGTGCAGTGAAATGTGTTGTTTGCAGGGTCAGCCATAGTAGTATAGCACCCCTGCAGCAAATCAGGGTTAAGTGCCTTGCTCAAGGGCACATCGGCAGATGTCACCTTGTCGGCTCAGGTATTCAAACCAGCAACCTTCCGGTTACTGGCCAAACGCTCTGACTGCTAGGCTACCTTCCCTCCTAATATATTACTCACCCATTATTTCCTTGGACTGCCCTATGACCTCATGGGCGTAGAAGGCAGGGAATATCCCCCTCTCTCCCGTCCGCATGTTGTAGCCTCTGTACCAGTAGTCATCCTCCTCTTCCTCGACATACAGAGGGTCGTCCACATCCAGCTCCAACTCATCCACATGTCTGGGGATAAACCTGTAGGGGGCAGGAGACAGAGGTCAGAGGGTAGAGATACACACACATTATTAGGTTTTACTGAGGAGGAAGCAGCATCTGTCTTGAGTATCAGGTGTCTCCCCAAAAAGAGGCTGTTAGCTGAAGAAACAGCAGAGACACACTTAGGGATGGAGGGAGAGAAGGGGGAGGGGAAGTGCTGAGTATTATAAAGGCTAGGGAGATAAGAAGGATTCAGTTACTGAGGAATGGAACAGGGGGCACAAACACACACAAACACACACAGAGTGAGGCCCAGGTGGTGGCAGGCTGGCGTGAGTATAAATCAAATCAAAGTTTATTGGTCGTGTACACAGATTTGCAGATGTTATCGCAGGTGCAGTGAAATGCTTATGTTTCTAGCTCCAACAGTGCAGTAATATATAAAAAATAGATTTAAAAAATAAAACATTAGAAATATCAGAGCGAGCAATAACAGAACGAGCAATGTCAGAGTTTGGAATATAAATATGTATACATATAAATGGTGTGTATAGACAGTATGGACAGTATTTGAATAGAAAAGGTGTGTACAGGTGTAGTTATATAGGATGAGCCATGACTAGAATACAGTATAAACATAAAGTGGGTAAAACAATATGTAAACATTATTAAAGTGACCAGTGTTCAATGGCTCTATGTATATAGGGCAGCAGTCTCTAAAGTTCAGGTGCATGGTAGAATACTGGGTGGTAGCCAGCTAGTGACAGTGCCAAAGGTTCAGGGCAGGGTACCGGGCGGAAGCTGGCTAGTGATGACTGTTTAACAGTCTGATGGCCTGGAGATGTTTATCAGTCTCTCGGTCCCAGCTTTGATGCACCTGTACTGTCTCCGCCTCCTAGATGGTAGCGGGGTGAACAGGCTGTGGCTTGGGTGGCTGAGGTCCTTGATTATCTTTTTGGCCTTCCCGTGAAACTGTGTGCTGTAGATGTCCTGGAGGGCAGGCAGTGTGCCCCCGGTTATGCATTTGGCTGACCGCACCCCGCTCTTGAGAGCCCTGCGGTTGTGGGCAGTGCAGTTGCCGTACCAGGCGGTGATACAGCCTGACAGAATACTCTCGATGACGCATCTGTTTGTACACGTCCATGTTCACAGTCACCTTGCCGTGGTTAAATGTGGTGGTTCGGGCTTTCAGTTTTGTGCAAATGCTGCCATCAATCCATGGTTTTGGGTTTGGATAAGTTCTAATCGTCACAGTAGGAACAACATCCTCTATACACTTCCTGATGAACCCAGTCACGAGTCAGTGTATACATCAATACTATTCCCAGAGGCAACCCGGAACATTTCCCAGTCCACATGATCAAAGCGGTCTTGAAGCATAGATTCCAATTGGCCAGACCAAGGTTTAACAGTCCTTACCACAGGGGCTTTTTGTTTAAGTTTCTGCCTATAGGCGGGGAGGAGCAGGAAGGAGGCATGATCTGATTTTGCAAAGGGAGGGCGGGGGAGGCCCTTATAGCCATCCTGGAAGGGAGAGTAATAATGGTAAAGAGTGTTCTCTCCGTGTGTAGCACATGAGATGTGTTGATAGAATTTCGGGAGCGTTTTACTCAGATTTCCCTTATTAATGTCCTCAGCTACAAAAAACTGCAGCCTCAGGAAGTGCAGTTTCCAGTTTGCACAAAGTCCAGTGTAGTTTCTTGAGCGCCGTCGCAATGTCGGCTTGGGGGGGGGAATATACACGGCAGTGACAAAAAAGGAAAATTATCTCAGGAGGTATTGCGGTCTGCATTTGATAGTGAGGTATTCCAGATCGGGAGAATGAAAGGACTTGAGTTCCTGTACGTTACCACAATCACAACACCATGAGTTGTTAATCATGAGACAAACCCCTCCACCTTTGTTTTTCCCTGAGAGTTCGTTCTTCCTGTCCACACAATGAATGGAGAACCCCACTGGTTTGACAGAGCCATGATTACGTAAACAGAGTATGTTACAGTCCCTTATGTCTCACTGAAAGAAGATCCTCGCCCTGAGCTCATTTACTTTATTGTCCAAGTACTGAACGTTAGCGAATAATATACTTGAAAGCGGTGGAGGGTTTGCTCGCTGCCTGAGTGTGACTAGCACCCCACCCCCTCCTCCGGCGTCAACATTTTGGTGTAGTGCCGGGACTGCCTCGGGAAGGCATGTCTAAAGTCCAAAAGTTATTTTAGCTGTAGGAAATAATACTAGAAACGTTCTGAGCCAATAATGTAAGAAATAACACAAAAGCCAACTGCAGAGTTGGCTAGGAGCTAGAAACAGGGCGATCGTGTCTGTCGGCACCAATTTTTCTATATAGCTATTACTCCTGCAGTGTCGCTAGGGCCACAGCTGTAACCATGACAACTGTCCTCCTCTCGCTCACCTTTCCTCTCTTCCTCCCTCCATCTCTTCTTCCCTCCCTCCCTCCAGACCACTGGTGATTCACCAGATTCACATTCTCCTACTGCACACCCCCATCCTTTGTCCCATATCACCTACAGTCCATTTTACGTGTGGGACTAAGAACAAAGAGTCAAACAGATAAGAGATTATAATACTGTATGTTCTCTTACAATGATAACATTACAATAATCACAGGTTTTTGTCTGATCAGGATTTCAGATTGCTTGTTGTGTTGCTCTCTGTTTATATAACACAGTAAGTATGTCTGTAAATTATGTTCTGAATGCTATGACTCACCTGTAGACAGCCCTGTGTGTCTGGTCCCTCTCTTCTCCATTGATGGTACAGGAGAACAGCCCAAACGACTCTGTACCTGCACAGGTAAACACACACCACAGTGAGAACACTGATATAATTGTTGGGCAGGGCATTCATGTAACCCATAGGACCTCTCTGAATAAAATCTAAATAAATGATAACTGCATCTGTCAAAATAACTTATGTTGATGAAATTCTTGTTCTTCCCATTTGTAATAGACCATTAATTATGTATCTGATCATTCATTAATGAAGTGAATGGAGAGGTTAACGATGGTTCAGTGATCTTTTATCACGCTACAGCTTGGGAGAGCTAACATGGACACTCATTTATCATATGATTTATCAAATGAGAGTCAAAATGGAATGAAACCCCAAGTATAAGCTTTATTCACCACCTTTTTTGTCAAAAAATAATATGTTTGACTACAGCCCCTATCCCCCTTGCTAGGAGCTACAATAGGTTAGGTGCTCATGGTTAGTTTGTACAGTCGTGGTCAAATGTTTTGAGAATGACACAAATATTAATTTTCACAAAGTCTGCTGCCTCCGTTTTTATGATGGCAATGTGCATATACTCCATAATGTTATGAAGAGTGATCAGATGAATTGCAATTAATTGCAAAGTCCCTCTTTGCCATGAAAATGAGCTTAATCCCCCAAAAAACATTTCCACTTCATTTCAGCCATGCCACAAAAGGACCAGCTGACATCATGTCAGTGATTCTCTCGTTAACACAGGTGAGAGTGTTGACGAGGACAAGGCTGGAGATCAATCTGTCATGCTGATTGAGTTAGAATAACAGACTGGAAGCTTTAAAAGGAGGGTGGTGCTTGAAATCATTGTTTTTCCTCTGTTAACCATGGTTACCTGCAAGGAAACACGTGCCGTCATCATTGAAAAAGGGCTTCACAGGCAAGGATATTGCTGCTAGTAAGAACTTCAAGGAGAGAGGTTCAATTGTTGTGAAGCAGGCTTCAGGGCGCCCAAGAAAGTCCAGCAAGCGCCAGGACCGTCTCCTAAAGTTGATTAAGCTGCGGGAACGGGGCACCACCAGTGCAGAACTTGCTCAGGAATGGCAGCAGGCAGGTGTGAGTGCATCTGCACACACAGTGAGGCTAAGACTTTTGGAGGATGTCCTGGTGTCAAGAAGGGCAGCAAAGAAGCCACTTCTCTCCAGGAAAAACATCAGGGACAGACTGATATTCTGCAAAAGGTACAGGGATTGGACTGCTGAGGACTGGGGTAAAGTCATTTTCTCTGATGAATCCCCTTTCCGATTGTTTGGGGCATCCGGAAAACACCTTGTCTGGAGAAGACAAGGTGAGCGCTACCATCAGTCCTGTGTCATGCCAACAGTAAAGCATCCTGAGACCATTCATGTGTGGGGTTGCTTCTCAGCCAAGGGAGTGGGCTCACTCACAATTTTGCCTAAGAACACAGCCATGAATAAAGAATGGTACCAACACATCCTCCGAGAGCAACTTCTCCCAACCATCCAAGAACAGTTTGGTGACGAACAATGCCTTTTCCAGCATGATGGAGCACCTTGCCGTAAGGCAAAAGTGATAACTAAGTGGCTCGGGGAACAAAACATCAAAAGTTTGGGTCCATGGCCAGGAAACTCCCAAGACCTTAATCCCATTGAGAACTTGTGGTCAATCCTCACGAGGCGGGTGGACAAACAAAAACCCACAAATTCTGACAAACTCCAAGCATTGATTATGCAAGAATGGGCCAGTCAGGATGTGGCCCAGAAGTTAATTGACAGCATGCCAGGGCGGATTGCAGAGGTCTTGAAAAAGAAGGGTCATCACTGCAAATATTGACTCTTTGCATAAACTTAATGTAATTGTCAATAAAAGCCTTTGACACTTATGGAATGCTTGTAATTATACTTCAGTATACCATAGTAACATCTGACAGAAATATGAAATATCTAAAAACACTGAAGCAGCAAACTTTGTGAAGACCAATACCAATACAATTCTCAAAACTTTTGACCACGACTGTAGTTAGTTAGTTGGTCTGTAGCTTATTTACTGGAGGATTGTGAGATGCAGTACATTAGCTAGTTAATTAATTAGTTATTTAGTTTGTGTGTAGCCTACTTACAGGAGGATCGTGAGAGCCAGTAAGTTAGTTTGTTAGTTACTGGAGGATTGTGAGATGCAGTAAATTAGTTAGTTAGTTAGTTAGTTAGTTAGTTAGTTAGTTAGTTAGTTAGTTAGTTAGTTAGTTAGTTAGTTAGTTAGTTAGTTGAGGTTTGTGAGATGCAGTAAGTTAGTTAGTTAGTTAGTTGGGGATTGTGAGATGCAGTAAGTTAATTACTTAGTGGAGGATTGTGAGATGCAGTAAGTTAGTTAGTTACTGGAGGATTGTGAGATGCAGTAAGTTAGCTAGTTAGTGAATTAGTTAGTTAGTTAGCTAGTTAGTTAGTTTGTAGCCTGCTTACGGAGGATTGCGAGGTGCAGTAACTTTGTTAGTTACAGGACCTTCAGAAAGTATTTACTTTTTCCACATTTTGTTGTGTTAAAGCCTGAATTTAAAATATATTAAATTGAGATTTTGTGTCATTGGCCGACACACAATACCCCATAATGTCAAAGTGGAATTATGTTTTTAGGAGTTTTTACAAATTAATAAAAAATTAGTCAATAAGTATTCAACCACTTTGTTATGGCAAGCCTAAATAAGTTCAGGAGCAACAAGTCACATAATAAGTTGCAAGGACTCACTCTGTGTGCAATAATAGTGTTTAACATGATTTTGTTATGACTACCTCTTCTCTCTACCTCACACCTACAACAATCTGTAAGGTCCCTCAGTCGAGCAGTGAATTTCAAACAAAGATTCAACCACAAAGACCAGGGAGGTTTTTCCAATGCCTCACAAAGAAGGGCACCTATTGGTAGATGGATAAAAATACAAAAAGTAGAAATTGAATATCCCTTCGAGCATGGTGAAGTTATTAATTACACTTTGGATGGTGTATCAATACACCCAGTCACTACAAAGATACAGGCGTCCTTCCTAACTCAGTTGCCGGAGAGGAAGGAAACCGTTCAGGGATTTCAAAATGAGGCCAATGGTGACTTTAAAACAGTTACCGAGTTTAATGGCTGTGATAGGTGAAAACTGAGGATGGCTCAACAACATTGTAGTTACTCCACAATACTAATCTAAATGACAGAGTGAAAAGGAGGAAGCCTGTACAGAATACAAATATTCCAAAACATGCATCCTGTTTGCAATAAGGCACTAAAGTAAAACTGCAAAAACAGTGCGAAATAAATTAAGTTTATGTCCATAATATAAAGCGTTATATTTGTGTAAATCCAACAAAACACATCACTGAGTACCACTCTTCATATTTTTAAGCATGGTGGTGGCTGCATCATGATATGGGATACTTGTCATTGGCAAGGACTAGGGAGTTTTTTTTTAGGATAAAAAGAAACGGAATAGAGCTAATCACAGGCAAAATCTGCTTCAATCACCTTTCAACTGACATTCGGAGACAAATTCACCTTTCAGCAGAATTCACCTTTCAGCACAATAAACTAAAACACAAGACCAAATATACACTAGAGTTGCTTACCAAGATGACATTGAATGTCCCTGAGTGGCATAGCTACAGTTTTAACTTAAATAGGCTTGGAAATCTATGGCAAGACTTGAAATGGCTGTCTAGCAATGATCAACAACCAACTTGACAGAGCTTGAAGAATTTTAAAAATAGTATTGTGCAAATATTATACAATCCAGGTGTGCAAAGCACTTAGAGACTTACCCAGAAAGACTCACATCTGTAATCACTGCCAAAGGTGATTCTAACATGTATTGATTAAGGGGTGTGAATACTTCTGTAAGTGAGATATTTCTGTATTTCATTTTCAATACATTTGCAAAACAATTTTTTTTGTCATTATGGGGTATTGTGTGTAGATCGGTGAGAATAAAACACCTATTTAATCCATTTTGAATTCAGGCTGTAACACAACAACATATGGAATAAGTCAAGGGGTATGAAATACTTTCTAAATGCACTGTAGTTAGTTAGTTAGTGTGCATCCTACTTACTGGAGGATCGTGAGGTGCTGTTGACAAACACATTAAGGAACTTCTTGGAGAAGTGCATGTCAGCCTCGGGGGAGGAGTCTTCTGACGAGCTGAGGAGTTCTGGCTGCACCCCTCCGTTCCCCCGGCCGTTCCCCACCTCCCCCGTCCCAAGAGGGTCATCATCACACAGTGTAGACAGCTCACTGTCGTCACTCAGCACTGAGGTACATCTGGGAGGGACACGGTTCACACAGGTTAGTAATTAAACAACTCACTTTAAATGAAGTCCACCTAAACCCTTAATGAAGGTGGGCCCTTTCCGTAGGTATGTACCTCCTGAGGCTGACCAGTTCCAGTGTAGTGTTCTCATCCACCACCAGAGTGTACTTCATGGAGTCGTACGCCAGACCATCATCATCCGGCCTGGACCGCAGGGCCTGCAGGGGGAGGTCCCTCACACACAGGGGGGGGTCCTGCTCTGACAGGGGGAGGTCCCGGACGCTCTCATCGATAGGCGGGGAGCTGTCCAGGTATTGGTTGCTGCCATGATAGGATGACTGCTTCCTCAGGCAGCTCAGGAATGGGGAGCAGTCTCCTTCCTCTTCATCCTCCTCTTCCTCGTCGTTGTCGGTGGAGTAGGTGAGACTGAAGCATCGGTTGGTCTGGGCCGTGGGGATGTCCAAGGTCATGCTGTGTTTGACTGTGGTGATGCGTTCCAGGGAGGCCGTAGAGTGTCCGGTGGGCTTGGCCTCCGTCTCGCGGCCCTCGTCCTTGTCGCTCGCCATGCTCTCACTCAGACTGGGAGAGTCCAGCTCCTTCCTCCCCTCCAGCATCATCAGGTCGTTATCAGGCTCCACAGTATCTTCATCATCCATTTCCTCATCCTTCCTCTTTGTGTTTTTGCCTGATTTAGGGCTGGTGAAGTCTTTCTCAGAGTCCTGAGTGTGGTTGTTGTCTGTGGATACCCTGTTGCCATAGCGCTCCACAATCACCGGTCTGATGGTGTCAGCTGTAGGATTGTTCATGTACAGACAGGGGCTGAATCTATCGTTGACTTTCCCTGCATTCCCTTTGGGTGGCTCTGCACTCTTCTCCCTCTTCTCTCTCTCCTTCCCTTCCTTCCTTAGGCCCCTCCTTTCTTTATCCTCCTCCTCCGATCTCTTCGTCCCAGATTTCTGCACTTGTTCGTCCGCGGCTTCAGTGAACGCGTCTGGCTCGATGTCCGAGGAGGGTGAGATGGTGTCCGAGATGGACACTGACCTCTTGAAACAGTCCTCGGGACAGCTGATTGGATAAGACCCCTCCGAGATCATCTTGTTCACCAGGTTGCTAAGCAACCAGGGTGAGTCTGAATTCTCGCTCAGCTCGTCCTCGCTCTCCGACTCTGACCCTCCCTCACTGTTCCCGTCGTAGTCGTCAGCGTGGGTGGGTATGAGTCTGGATCCTACTGGCAGGTAGAAGGAGCGTTTGAAGCTCTCCAGGCTGTGGTCTGGTTCTATCTGGAGGACCATCTGTCTGGACATGCTGTCCTCACAGCGCTGGGCTGGGGGCAGGGTCTCATCTGGGTCAGCCTGGTACTCATAGGGCAAGTCATCATCATCATCTACACTTTGTAGGCCCATCTGAGCCTGGCCGTCATCATAGGGCTCTGGGGGCAGGATGGGGGAGTCAACAGGGGAGGGGGTGGCCAGGGTGGAGGAGGGGAGTTGTGAAGGTGAAGGTAAGGGTGAGTCCTCTTTGATGGGGTCTGGCTGGCCAAGGAGGAGTGATACCTTCATTCCCACAATTCCACTGTCCTGTTCTAACTCGGTGTCCGGGTCCAGTTCCTGGTCGGAGGTGGGTGAGCTGGCCTCCTCGATGGAGTTGGTGAGGTGGGAGGAGCGTCCACTACTACTGTCATCACTGGTCAGGTCCAGCTCTGTCTCTGAGATGGAGGAGATCATGTTGGAGACCAGGGGTCCTCCGCAGGCGAATGCTGCCTCTAGCTCCCCCTCGATGTCTGAGTCTGACCCGGGAGAGCTCAGGTCCTGGTCTTGGTCTGAGGTGGTGTAGCACCGCTTGGCATTCATGTCAGCGATGCCCGGGTCCGAGGATGGAGAGTTGGAGTCATTGGACACCTCATTGGCTGCACCTGGACGCTGGCTCTGATCGGTGCTTCGGGATTGATTGAGAACATCAGAGCGGCTTGATGACATGTAGCTGGAGAAGGAAGCCAGCTCAGAGGGCTCGATGGAGGGGAACTCAACGTAGACTGAGCTCTGGTTCTCCTTACACACCATGTCATAGGTCTCCTTACACATGAACTCTACGTCAAAATCTTTCTCCAGCTCCTCATCTGACAGAGGGGTGTCAGCTCCATCGTTCCCCCCGATGGGAGCAGTGGAGGACAGGCATCGGCTGGTCCCGTCTGGGTCGTTCTCCAGTTCCGGGTCCAGGCCTGACTCAGTGGTGACCGTATAGGTGTCGGTGGCACGTCGCTGGGTGGACATGCAGGACGGTGAACGTTTGTGGTTGTGGTCGGCACTGTTGAGGTCGTGGTCAACCTCGGTGTCAGAACATTGCGATTGGTCATCCAGGGATGGAACTCTGGAGATCAGAGTTGAAGAGTCAGCTGAGGAGTTAATGACTTCATCAGAGCCTGGGTGAGACTTGTGTTGACCGAAGGAGCCTGTTGGAGAGACGGAGATAGAGGGGATAGAGAGGGAAGAGAAAGAGTGAAGATAGATAAAGAGAGATGGTAGAGGGTGAGGGAGATGAGAAGGCAGAGAAGAAAAGAGAAATGAGAATTGATCATGTGAGCATCATAGCAGTAGCAGCTTTTAACCAGAAGTTACCAAAGTGGGGATGGCAGTGAGGGGAGCAGGAGATAAACAGACCTATGCAAACTATCCTTGTGTTGCGTCCAAACACTCAATAATAAGTTAATTCTCACAAATTGAACTAGGAACTTTTGATGTCAGAATGGAGCCCATTCTTTAGAGAATCCCAAATGGAGTTTGCCAAAGTCTGTATCTATAGCGCTGGCCAGTGAGGACAGGACGACTACACTTTCACATCACGTCACTTCATGTTTATGGGGGATGATGAACTCTGACGGGCAGCCATTTTGTTTGTTACCGTATTCAGGCCTCTCCCGTCTGTTGCCCTCCATGTCGCAGAGGAGGGGCCTGCGAGGGGACTGGGGGTAGGAGCCCTCCCCTGCCTGTTTGGGGGGAGTACCTTTGCTCTGGGACCCTGGGGCCTGGGGGGCTGGTTGGGAGGGGCACTGGCCTGTCACGTGACTCCCATCCTCCAGACAAGAGTGGGTTGGAGACAGACGGACTGCAGGCAGAGAACCACAGCTTACTGTAACATTTAAAGACACAGCATCTAAAGACAATACTAGTAGGTAGATAAATGATAATACAAACATTTGTAGAAAAAAGTTTCCTTAGAAAGCTAGGGTATTCCTTCATGAGCAATCTTTTCTATGAACTGTTCCGGCAGGAAAGGTGGGTCCCATGCCATTGCGCACCGCATGGGTCAACTCCGCAACAGCTCTTATTTGCTGTATGATTGTACGGATCCACAGCTTTGAAGTAAGCAGCGATTTGTTAACCTTGCAGCGGAATCCGGGGGTCTGACCAATGCAGGGAAGAGGATCAGCATCTACCCAGACCTGAGTGCCGAACTGCTAAAACAGATGGAGTCCTACAACGAGGTGATCTCCCAGCTACGCAAGCTAAATTAACTGAATTCCAACTTGTTATTGGGACAGACATGAACACCATTCTGGACATGTGGGACAAATCTAAGAAGATGAACTACAATCCACAGGCAACCATGGCTCTCCAACATATACTCTCTGATTATCACTTCATTGATGCCTGGCGAGCTCATAACCCTAAAGCAAAAGAGTACACTTTCTATTCAAACAGGCACAAAACATACTCTCGAATCGATTTTGTACTATTATCTACTTTTCTATATTCTTTAATCAAGAAAATAGAAATTCGACATATAAGCCTGTCTGATCATCATGCTTACTACTGCCAGATACAAATATCAGAATCTCCTAAAAGAGCCAAAAGATGGCGCTTTAATGTTTCCTTACTACAAAATCCTATTTTCTGTGAACAATTTGAAACTTAATTGAATACATTCATAATTAATAACAAAAATTCAGTCGATGATCTACGGATTTTATGGGACGCCATCAAAGGTTTTATTAAAAACAATGCAACTGCGTTTGCATCTGGGCTGAATAAATCACAATTAACCCTAATTAACATAATATACAAATCCCCATCAAAATCTAGAGATATCTGTTTGGGCTGAGTCTCAATCCACCACATCCGCCGATATCACCCTTCCACATCTGCGGTGAAAGGTGGCAGAGCTAGAGCGGTGTTTGTCAGACCATGAGACATCCCAAAAATAGGTCTTCTCACAAAAACGTCTGTAGCATCCGAACAGTTTGGGCTACACAATAATAGGACCCCTCTGTGGACAGCTGAGACTCTCACAAACATGATGGTGTTCTCTAGGACGCCCACAAGCCTCAGGAGACCTGTCTGAAGACACACGGTACCAGTTTAAAAAATGAATGGAAGTATATATGGAGATACAGTAGTTTAGTGCCTAAAATAAGGGGATAAATACATGTTAAAAAAAAGTTTACTGATCTTTCTTATATCTCTCAGATATAGGATAGACACTTCAGAACAAACTTCCTTTGGATGTTCTTTTTTTTTAACTATCTGTTGTTCCATGTAGTGAATCTGTTATTCAATGTGTTTCTATTGGCTAATAGCAGTAATGCCAAATTCAATGTTTCATCCAATAATTGTTTTATTTATGTTTTTGATACCTTAAAGGGTCTTAAAATTCTAAATAAAATAGCTAAATGATCCTTGGTATGCCCATCTTAAAACAATTCTCTAGAGGGTTAAAGAAGATATCAGAATTGGAAAAGTTGTTAACGACATTACAGTGTTATCAACAAACACTTTTTTCAGACCAGGTAACGAAAGGCAGCACTGACGCAAAAAATATGTTGTCTCTTAGATGGCAATTACCTGACTCTCTCCCAATTTGCCAGTTGATACAGTTAGTATTAGAAGTAATAACATTAGAATTATTGACAGTGAGAATGATTGGTGCTAGTCAAGAAACAATTGAGGCCTGGCCAGATACATAATAATCTTAGCTGAAGCCCAACACATAAAAAAAACAATCTATAAAGCCCAAACATACAAACAAACAAAAAAAATATATATGTACCTATTTTCATATTTTAGGCCCACAAGGTACCAGTGGAATTAGGGTGACCACATATAAAATACCCAAATGCGGGACAACAGGATGATTTTGCGGGACATTCGTGGGACAGTGTAGCCTAAATGAATACAAAATGTTGGCAAAACCCCCGTAAATACGTTGACCACGTCCCGCAACCAAACAATCATGTCCTGCATTTTATTAACAAATTCAAACACAACAATATACAGTGCCTTTGGAAAGTATTCCGACCCCTTGACCTTTTCCACATTTTGTAACGTTACAGCCTTATTCTAAAATTGATTAAATTGTTTTTTCCCCTCATCAATCTACACACAATACGCCATAATGACAATGCAAAAACAGGTTTTTAGACATTTTTGCAAATGAATTTAATTACATTAAAAAAAAAACATTTACATAAGTATTCAGACCCTTTACTCAGTACTTTGTTGAAGCACCTTTGGCAGCGATTACAGAGTATTCTTTGGTATGACACTACAAACTTGGCACACCTGTTTTTGGGGTGTTTCTCCCTTTCTTCTCTGCACATCCTCTCAAGCTCTGTCAGGTTGGATGTTCGATCAAGTTCAAGTCCGGGCTCTGGCTGGGCGATTCAGAGACTTGTCCCGAAGACACTCCTGCGTTGTCTTGGCTGTGTACTTAGGGTTGTTGTCCTGTTGGAAGGTGAACCTTCGCCCCCAGATTGAGGTCCTGAGTGCTCTGGAGCAGGTTTTCATCAAGGATCTCTCTGTACTTCGCTCCGTTTATCTTTCCCTCAAACCTGACTAGTCTCCCAGTCCCTGCCGCTGAAAAACATCCCCACAGCATGATGCTGCCACCAACATGCTTCACCGTAGGGATGGTGCCAGGTTTCCTCCAGACGTGACGCATAGCATTTAGGCCAAAGAGTTCAATCTTGGTTTCATCAGACCAGAGAATCTTATTTCCCATGGTCTGAGAGTCCTTTAGGTGCCTTTTGCAAACTCCAAGAGGGCTGTCATGTGCATTTTACTGAGGAGTGGCTTCCGTCTGGCCACTCTACCATAAAGGCCTGATTGGTGGAGTGCTGCAGAGATGGTTGTCCTTCTGGAAGGTTCTCCCATCTCCACAGAGGAACTCTGGAGCTCTGTCAGAGTGACCATCCGGTTGTTGGTCACCTCCCTGACCAAGGCCGTTCTCCCCCGATTGCTCAGTTTGGTCGGGCGGCCAGCTCTAGGAAGAGTCTTGGTAGTTTCAAACTTCTTCCATTTAAGAATGATCTGTGCCTCGACACAATTCGTTCGACCTCATGGCTTGGTTTTTGCTCTGACATGCACTGTCAACTGTGGGACCTTATACAGACAGGTGTGTGCCTTTCCAAATCATGTCCAAACAATTGAATTTACCACAGGTGGACTCCAATCAAGTTGTATAAACATCTCAAGGATGATCAATGGAATCAGGATGCACCTGAGCTCAATTTCGAGTCTCATAGCAAAGGGTATGAATACATATGTAAATAAGGTTTTTCTGTTTTTAATTTTTAATACATTTGCAAAAATTTCTAAAAACCTGTTTTCGCTTTGTCATTATTGGGTCAAGGGGTCTGAATACTTTCCGAATGCACTGTATATATCATAAGGACGTGGTACTGGTGTTATTAAAAACTTCTCTAATCGTTGTTGAGATCTGATATTCTGCACAGTGCAAGACGTAGGCTAATGTGTCACGACTTCCTCCGAAGCTGCCTCCTCTCCTGGTTCGGGGCAGGCTTCAGCGTTCATCGTCACCGGCCTTCTAGCCACTGCCGCTCCTCATCTCATCATTCCATTTGTTTTGTCTTGTCTATTACACACACCTGGTTCATATCCCTTCATTAGTATGTGTATACTAATCATATTGTATGACAGCGCCGGAGAAGATGGCTGCCGTTTTACAGCCCTCTAACCAATTGTACTATTATGTGTGTTTTTCCGCGTTATTTGTAATTTATTTTGTACATAATGTTTCTGCCATCGTCTCTTATAACCAAAAAGAGCTTCTGCGTATCAGGACAGCGATTACTCACCTCGTATTGGACGAAGATTTTTTCTTCAACGAGGTGGCCGCGAAGGATATCATACAGACACCCGACAAGGCCCAAATCCCCGTCATTCGCGTGAGGAAGAGACGGAGATATCGTGGACGAAGATCGGGGTGCCTTGTAAGGATCCGACGGCGAGCGAGTAAACTGCCTCTTCCATCAATCCTATTAGCCAACGTTCAATCATTTGAAAATAAATTGGATGATTTAAGATTACGGTTATCCTACCAACGGGACATTAAAAACGGTAATATCTTATGTTTCACCGAGTCGTGGCTGAACGACAACAATGATAACATTCAGCTAGCGGGCTATACGCTACATCGGCAGGATAGAACGGCTGACTCCGGTAAGACAAGGGGTGGCGGTCTGTGTATATTTGTAAACAACAGCTGGTGCACAAAATCAAATACTAAGGAAGTCTCGAGGTTTTGCTCGCCTGAGGTAGAGTATCTTATGATAAGCTGTAGACCACACTATTTAACAAGAGAGTTTTCATCTATATTTTTCATAGCTGTCTATTTACCACCACAAACCAATGCTGGCATTAAGATTGCACTGAATGAGTTGTACAAGGCCATAAATCAACAGGAAAACGCTCATCCAGATGCAGCACTCCTAGTGGCCGGGGACTTTAATGCAGGGAAACTTAAATCCGTTCTACCTAATTTCTACCAGCATGTTAAATGTGCAACCAGATGAAAAAAAACTCTATACCACCTTTACTCCACACACAGAGACGCATACAAAGCTCCCCCTCGCCCTCCATTTGGCAAATCTGACCATAACTCTATCCTCCTGATTCCTGCTTATAAGCAAAAACTAAAGCAGGAAGCACCAGTGACTCGGTTAATAAAAAAGTGGTCAGATGACGCAGATGCTAAGCTACAGGACTGTTTTGCTAGCACAGACTGGAACATGTTCCGGGATTCTTCAGACAGCATTGAGGAGTACACCACATCAGTCACTGGCTTCATCAATAAGTGCATCGATGATGTCGTCCCCACAGTGACCGTACGTACATACCCCAACCAGAAGCCATGGATTACAGGAAACATCCGCACTGAGCTAAAAAAAAATGTTTTATTTTTTTTTTATTTTTTTTTATTTCACCTTTATTTAACCAGGTAAACCAGTTGAGAACAAGTTCTCATTTACAACTGCGACCCTAAAGGGTAGAGCTGCCGCTTTCAAGGAACGGGACTCTAACCCGGACGCTTAGAAGAAATCCGGCTATGCCCTCCGACGAACCATCAAACAGGCAAAGAGTCAATACAGGACTAAGATTGAATCGTACTACACTGGCTCTAACGCTCGTCGGATGTAGCAGGGCTTGAAAACTATTACAGACTACAAAGGGAAGCACAGCTGCGAGCTGCCCAGTGACACAAGCCTACCAGACGAGCTAAACCACTTCTATGCTCGCTTCGAGGCAAGCAACACTGAAGCATGCATGAGAGCACCAGCTGTTCCGGATGACTATGTGATCACGCTCTCCGTAGCCGATGTGAGTAAGACTTTTAAGCAGGTCAACATTCACAAGGCCACAGGGCCAGACGGATTACCAGGACGTGTACTCCGAGCATGTGCTGACCAACTGGCAAGGGTCTTCACTGACATTTTCAACATGTCCCTGACTGAGTCTGTAATACCAACATGTTTCAAGCAGACCACCATAGTCCCCGTGCCCAAGGACTCTAAGATAACCTGCCTAAATGACTACCGACCCGTAGCACTGACGTCTGTAGCCATGAAGTGCTTTGAAAGGCTGGTCATGGCTCACATCAACAGCATTATCCCAGAAACCCTAGACCCACTCCAATTTGCATACCGCCCCAACAGATCCACAGATGATGCAATCTCTATTGCACTCCACACTGCCCTTTCCCACCTGGACAAGAGGAACACCTACGTGAGAATGCTATTCATTGACTACAACTCAGCATTCAACACCATAGTGCCCTCTAAGCTCATCACTAAGCTAAGGATCCTGGGACTAAACACCTCCCTCTGCAACTGGATCCTGGACTTCCTGACGGGCCGCCCCCAGGTGGTAAGGGTAGGTAACAACACATCTGCCACACTGATCCTCAACACGGGGGCCCCTCAGGGGTGCGTGCTCAGTCCCCTCCTGTACTCTCTGTTCACCCATGACTGCATGGCCAGGCACGACTCCAACACCATCATTAAGTTTGCCGACGACACAACAGTGGTAGGCCTGATCACCGACAATGATGAGACAGCCTATAGGGAGGAGGTCAGAGACCTGGCCGTGTGGTGCCAGGATAACAATCTCTCCCTCAACGTGACCAAGACAAAGGAGATGATTGTGGACTACAGGAAAAGAAAGAGGACTGAGCACGCCCCCATTCTCATCGACGGGGCTGTAGTGGAACAGGTTGAGAGCTTCAAGTTCCTTGGTGTCCACATCAACAACGAACTATCATGGTCCAAACACACCAAGACAGTCGTGAAGAGGGCACAACAAAGCCTATTCCCCCTCAGGAGACTGAAAAGATTTGGCATGGGTCCTCAGATCCTCAAAAAATTCTACAGCTGCACCATCGAGAGCATCCTGACTGGTTGCATCACCGCCTGGTATGGCAACTGCTAGGCCTCCGACCGCAAGGTACTACAGAGTGTAGTGCGTACGGCCCAGTACATCACTGGGGCAAAGCTTCCTGCCATCCAGGACCTCTATACCAGGCGGTGTCAGAGGAAGGCCCTCAAAATTGTCAAAGACTCCAGCCACCCTAGTCATAGACTGTTCTCTCTGCTACCGCACGGCAAGGGGTACCGGAGTGCCAAGTCTAGGTCCAAAAGACTTCTCAACAGCTTCTACCCCCATGCCATAAGACTCCTGAACAGCTAATCATGGCTACCCGGACTATTTGCACTGTCCCCCCACCCCATCCTTTTTACGCTGCTGCTACTCTGTTAATTATTTATGCATAGTCACTTTAACTCTACCCACATGTACATATTACCTCAACTAGCCGGTGCCCCCGCACATTGACTCTGCAACGGTACCCCCCTGTATATATAGCCTCCCTACTGTCACTTTATTTTACTTCTGCTCTTTTTTTTCTCAACACTTTTTTTTGTTGTTGTTTTATTTTTACTTTTTTTGTTAAAAATAAATGCACTGTTGGTTAAGGTCTGTAAGTAAGCATTTCACTTTAATGTCTGCACCTGTTGTATTCGGCGCATGTGACCAATAAAATTTGATTTGATTAGATTAGATTTGATATAAGTGTTCCCTCTGCCCCCTTGTCCTTGTGGGTGATTGTTTAGTGTGAGGAGAGTGTAGCTCGGTTGAGCTCCGTGTATTTTGTATTGCCAGGGTATATTTTCCCTGTGTGCCTGTTTTGTTATGGTGCGCCTGTTTTGCTCACTGGACTGTTTGACGCTATCCAGCATAACTCTGTGCTACTGAATAAACTCTGTATTCTGTGATTTACCCTCCTGCGCCTGACTCCTTCAAATCACCTATCACAGAATCACCCACCCGCTATGGAGTCAGCGGGAGAGGAGCGCATGCCTTGAGTCATGGCACGGGTCCATGAGCATTCGACGATGCTAGCCAGCTTGGGAGAAGCGATGGATCGATCTGTCGAGACCAGCTTGGCGACCGGATCCAGCCACCCACACCCCAGCACCTAGAGGCAGAGGGATCCATATATCCCGGGAGTTCGATGGGACAGTTGCTCTCTGCCAGGGATTCCTCCTCCAACTGGAGCTCTATTATTCCAGCATCAGCCCGGCCCCATCGGAGCGGGAGAAGGTGTCTGCCCTCGTCTCCTGCCTCTCGGGGAAAGCCCTGGAGTGGTCCTCTGTAGCTCAATTGGTAGAGCATGGCGCTTGTAACGCCAGGATAGTGGGTTCGATCCCCGGAACCACTGTTTTGCGCACTGGACTGTTTGATGCAATTCTGCGTAACTCTGTATTCCGGAATAAACTCTGTATTCAGTGATTTACCCTCCTGCGCCTGACTCCTTCAAATCACCCATCACACAATGTCACAGGCTGATTGTCAACCAATCGCATTTTTCAAATCCTTTCAGGCTCAATTCCCTCTAAACTTGGAGAGAACAGTTAGCCCTAACTACTTACAAAAGCGTGCCTTTGACGAAGAGCTACAAAAGTAAGTAGAAAGCCGTATAACTTTAAAAAAACAAACATTTTTAGTCATTTAGCAGACGCTCTTATCCAGAGCAACTTACAGTTAGAGAGTGCTAACATTCATTCATTATATATATATATATATATATATATTTCATACTGCCCCCCGTGGGAATCGAACCCACAACCCTGGCGTTGCAAACGCCACGCTCTACCAACTGAGCTACATCCCTGCCGGCCAATTGTGCACCGCCCCATGGGTCTCCCGGTCGCAGCCGGCTTCGACAGAGCCTGGATTTGAACCAGGATCTCTAGTGGCACAGCTAGCACTGCAATGCAGTGCCTTAGACCACTGCGCCACTCGGGAGGTCTACTTGACACAATCCCGTTTCAAAAGCCTCGCTTCCTAACTGTTTTACATGTTATGCATATTCTATAATGATATTCAATAGGCTACATCTTTTGGTACAAACTTTGAGAAATGATTACATAATTTACAGGGGAAGCTGCCAAAAAGTTATATTCATGTAGGATACACTGTCCCGCAAATATTTTAAATGTGGTCATCCTACCCGCAAATTACGTCATAATGAATAAGACAAATTACAGACAGATGTAGCCTATTGAATACATTTTACATTTACATTTTAGTCATTTAGCAGAAGCTCTTATCTAGAGAGACTTACAGTTAGTGCATTCATCTTAACATAGCTAGGTGGGACATCGTCAACCTTCTTTTCAAAGTGGTTGATAGCCGTCCGCAGAGAGGGAGGAGGGAGGGTGGAGGATTAAGGAGGGAGGAGAAGGTGGAAAATACTTTCCTAGGGTTAGAGCCAGAAGCTTTAAATGTAGTGATAGAAAGTGGCTTTAACAGTGGATACATAGGAAGAGAAGGTAGAGAGGAGGGAGTGAAATGATGATAGGTCCTCCAGAAGTTTAGTTTTTCTCCATTTTTGCTCAGCTGCCTGCAGCCCTGTTCTGTCAGCTCGCAATGAGTCACTCAGCCACGGAGCAGGAGGGGAGGGCCGAGCCGGCCAGGAGAAAAGAGGACAGGGCGAGTCATAGGATGGGGAAAGGGAGGAGAGTAGGGTCAAAGAGGCAGAATCAGGAGACAGGAGGGAGAAGGATTTAGCAGAAGGACGAGATTAAAGGATAGAAGAGGAGAGAGTAGAGGGAGAGAATGATAGGATAGAAGAGGAGAGAGTAGAGGGAGAGAGAGAGAGAGAGAGAGAGAGAGAGAAAGAGAAAGAGAGAGGAGAAGATTGTGACGGCGCATGACCATCTAGGTAGGGGCTGAGTGGCTAGGGTTGGAGGAGAGGGAGAAAGAAAAGTAAACAAAGTAGTGATCAGAGACCTGGAGGGGGTTAGTAGGCAAACAGCCTCTAGTAACGATGAGGTCACGCATATTGCCTGCCTTGTGAGTGGGATTGGGAAAGGGTGAGGTTAAAAGAGGCAAGGAGGGGAAAGAAAGAGTTAATTAAGGCAGACGTCGGGAGTTTGAAGTCGGCAAGTACGAAGAGTGGTGAGCCATCGTCAGGAAATGAGCTTATCAAGGTGTCAAGCTCATTGAGGAATTATCTAAAGGCATCTGGTGGGTGATTTATGACAACAATGATAAGCTTGAGTGGACAGTGACAGCATGGCATTCAAATGAGGAGATGGACAGGTGAGTGAGGGAGAAAATAGAAAATCTCCACTTAAGAGAAATGAGTAGCCCTGTGCCACCACCGCAACGACCAGATGCTCTCGGACTATGAGAGAAAACGTAGTCAGATGAAGAGAGATTAGCTAGAGTAGCAGTGTTCTCTGGGGTGATCCATTCCTCTGTCAGGGCCAAAAACTCAAGGGAGTGAAGGGCAGAATAGGCTGAGATTAACTCGCCGTTCTTGACAACAGATCGGCAGTTCCAAACACTGCCAGAGACCAGGGATTCCACATATATATAATTATATAATATGCATACAATGCATCCTCCAATTGCAACATCTGCCTATGCCCACACAATGTCTCAAAAAATGTTTATATGTTTAATACCCTCAAACACCAACATCACTGTCAATTGTGAATTATAATTCTTCACGTTTTACCAGTGAAACGTCCAAACTGCTGTCACACCCTGACTTATGGGACTCTTGTATGTTGAGTCAGGGTGTGGAGATCTATGTCATTATTTCTATGTTCACATTCTAGTTATTGTATTTCTATGTTTGGCCGGGTGTGATTCCCAATCAGAGGCAGCTGTCGCTTGTTGTCTCTGATTGGGGATCATACTTAAGTTGCCTGGTTGCAATCATTAGTTGTGGGATCTTGTTCCGTGTAGAGGCTTGTGTTGTGTTGTGTTGTGTTGTGTTGTGTTGTGTTGTGTTGTGTTGTGTTGTGTTGTGTTGTGTTGTGTTGTGTTGTGTTGTGTTGTGTTGTGTTGTGTTGTGTTGTGTTGTGTTGTGTTGTGTTGTGTTGTGTTGTGTTGTGTTGTGTTGTTGCGTTGCGTTGCGTTGCGTTGCGTTGCGTTGCGTTGCGTTGCGTTGCGTTGCGTTGCGTTGCGTTGCGTTGCGTTGCGTTGCGTTGCGTTTAGCCTGAGGACTTCACGTTACGTTGTTTTGTTATTTTGTTCGTGTGTTTATCGTTGAAATAAACATGTACGCATTTCACGCTGCGCCTTGGTCTGACCCGTCCTTAAACGAATGTGACAGAAGATCCCACCAAACACGGACCAAGCAGCGTGCCCAGGAGCAAACACCCTGGACACAGGTGGGGAAGATTTGGTCTTGGGAGGAGATATTTGCGGGGAAAGGACCCTGGGCGAAGAAGGAAGCCCAGGCAGGAGAGGAGCAACGGCAACACAGAAGGCGCCGGCCGAGGAGGAAGCCCGAGAGGCAGCCCCAAGAAAAAAAATTGGGGGGGCTAAAGGAGTGGTCGGGGAGCGAGAGAGAAGAGCCCCGACAACTGCACCCGGTGGGTTTCCAGGTTGAGTCCCTACGACCATGGGAAGAAGAGTGGGAACAGTTTTATACTGAGTAGTCGGAGGATGACGACGACGATGAGTTTCTGTTCCCTAACTCGTGGGGGCTCCCAGAGGAGTCCTCACTGGAGGAGGAGTGCCGAGGGAGAGAGAAGGATCGGATCTGCAGGGTAAGAGAGGAGGCCACCACATTACGGGGGCTGATAGCAAGATTAGAGCGGGAGAGCTCCATTCAAGAGGAGGCACTGCAGGAGGGTCGTAGGGAGAAGGAGGAAGTAAATGCATGGAGAGAGGAGCTGGTTAGGCAACATAAGGAGCGTGGGTTAATAGAGGAACCCATGTATGCGTCCCAGTGCGTCCTGTGCCAGCGCCCCGCACGTGTCGTGCGAAAGTGGGCAGCCAGCCAGGACGGGTTGTGCCGGCTCAACGCTCCTGGTCTCCAGTGTGCCTCCAAGGTCCAGTATATCCTGCTCCGGTTCTACGCACTGTGTCACCAGTGCACCTCACCAGTCCTGTACGGTCTGTACCTGCTCCTCGCACCAAGCCAGTGGTGTGTGTCCCCAGTCCGGTCTGGCCCGTTCCTGCTCCTCGCACCAAGCCAGTGGTGTGTGTCCCCAGTCTGGCCCGGCCCGTGCCTGCTTCCCGCACCAAGCCAGTGGTGTGTGTCCCCAGTCCAGCCCTGCCCGTTCCTTCTCCTCGCACCAGACCAGTGGTGCGTGTTCCCAGTCCGGTCCGGCCCGGCCCGTTCCTGTTCCTCGCACCAAGCCAGTGGTGCGTGTCGCCAGTCCGGCCCAGCCAGAGCATTCCGCTCCACCGGGGTCCAGTCCAGCTCCGGTCAGCGGCTCCAGTCCAGACCCAGACGTCAGCCCCTCTCCAGGTTCGGGGTCTCCCACACCAGGGTCCAGACAGGGCTTGGTACATCGTGGGAGGAAGGGGAAGCAGCGCGCCGAGGTCCAGACCAGACCAGGGGCGCAACGGGGAGGCTGAGAGAATGTGGTCGTCAGGCCCGGAGTCCGATCCGGGTGTGATTCCCAATCAGAGGCAGCTGTCGCTCGTTGTCTCTGATTGGGGATCATACTTAAGTTGCCTGGTTGCAATCATTAGTTGTGGGATCTTGTTCCGTGTAGAGTGTTGTGTTGTGTTGTGTTGTGTTGTGTTGTGTTGTGTTGTGTTGTGTTGTGTTTAGCCTGAGGACTTCACGTTACGTTGTTTTGTTCGTGTGTTTATCGTTGAAATAAACATGTACGCATTTCACGCTGCGCCTTGGTCTGACCCGTCCTTAAACGAATGTGACAACTGCGTCTGCATGTCAATCATTTGATCTCAATCAGTTTCATGGGACTATGCATTTAAATCTTCTTCAATTACTTTTACGTCAGCAAATTAGAGCAGATGATGTTAACAAACTATATAGCCTTCCTGTATTTTGTTTCAATCCAAGCAAATTCTGCCTAGTAGCGCACGCTGTTGTGTTTTGGCTGCATGATAAAGACAATTGGACCAGTCAGCTAACCATCCTAAAATCTCATAAGAAATGACTAAGGTGGGTTTTTTGGTGTAACAGTAACATGATACTATGCTATTATATTTGGTTTTGTTATGTAGAATACTAATTAACAATTATGTGATCTTCCAAGACATTGATTCAGCTTTGATCAAAATTTTACTAAAGGAGCACCATTGTGAGAAGTGGCAGAGCGATGCACCCGCTGCAGCTAACCGAAGCACACGTAGCCTACTGTTTTGCCTCGCACAAAATTTGGTGATGCAGAAACGAGAGACGACATGTTTTATGAAAATCTGGGAATATTTGGCCAAGGAAACATTTCTGGTCTCAGGGAATTTAAAACAGTTAGAAAGGGAGGCTTTTAAAAAGGGATTGAGTAAAGTAGCAGCAAATATGTTGAATGAGCTACTAATGGCCATGTAGAGCCTCACAAGTTTGACTAAATTACCTTGTATTTTTCAGCCTAATACGGCTATTTACCTACTTTTGTAGCTCTTTGTCAGAAACACACTTTTTAAAAAGTAGTTAAGGCTAACTGTCCTCTTTTAAGTTTAGCTGGAATTTAGCCTGAAAGGATTTGAGAAATGTGATTGATTGACAATAGGCCTATGACATTGGCCTAAGTCTCGTCTTGCGCTGTGCAGAATATCAGATCTCAACAATGATTGGAGAAGTGTTTAACATCACACAACATCCTTATGATATATATCTTTCACAACCGCAACGTGACTGCAAGAGACAGGTTGGAATGTTTGAGTGTAAAACACAACAAATCAAACTTTTATTTATTTATTAGTGGTGTTTAAATATGTTGATAAAATGCGGGGCATGATTGTTTGGTTGTGAGACGCGGGACAAAGGGCCCCCCAAAAATATATAAATGTATTTTTATTTTTTTAAGCTAGGGCATTTTGGAGGAAATAAGCTGCTAGGTGTTGGCAGTGGATTAGTATTGGATAAGTAATGAGTAGGGGGGAGTGGTAACAGTATGACAGCACAGTACTCACCCTGGGAGGTGGGGTTGCGTAGAGAGTCCTGCCAGCTGCCCTTCTTTGGAGAAAGACTGCTGTTGTTGTTCAGTGAGTCCTGAGAGAGAGAGAGAGAGAGAGAGAGAGAGAGAGAGAGAGAGAGAGAGAGAGAGAGGTCAGCATAATTTACCAAATCAGAGGAGAGCAGAAAGCTAAATCTGGTGTTAAATGTGAAAAGGTTGAGTGTGTGCGTGCATGTGTACCTGTGAGACAGTGGTGGTGAGGTTGAGGGTGTTGGGCCGGCTCTTCAGCGTGCCCAGGGTGGGGGAAGAAGGAGGGGAAGCGGTGGGGGAGGGGGGAGCATCAGGGTCCACCTCCTCTTCCTCATCCTCCTCGTCATCAATCATCTCAAACTCCTGGAAGTCGTCCTGGAAGGAGCATACCGGGTGATGCATATCGCTCTTCTCCAGAATCAGACAGTCCTGAAAAATAGATAGATAGATAGATAGATTACTGTTACACTGTAAGCAGCTGAAATGCGATGCTGTCAGCAATTTTCAAATGCTAGTATGAACAAAAGCAACAACCCCAGAGTCACCTTCCTGGGCTCATATCCAATAGTTTTCAGAGAAAGGTGTGGGACAGTTAAACCCAGAGCAGCCTACAAGCAGAATATAACACAACATTCTTTAATCAGGCACTGCAGTATACCTATCAGCGTGCAAACACACATCAAAGCACTGCGGTAGACTGGGACTCAGGTAACATGACCACTCTGCTCCAAAGTCGAGAGAGAGAGAGAGAGAGAGAGAGAGAGAGAGAGAGAGAGAGAGAGAGAGAGAGAGAGAGAGAGAGAGAGAGAGCGATGATGCCTCTCGGGTTTCAGCTGGTTTACAGGAAAATAAGGGATGGACTAAAAGGTGTGTGTGAGAGAGAGTGTTTGTGTGTGTGCGTATGCGTATGCATGTGCATGTGCATGCAAGTGTGCATGCATGCTTTTTCCAAGCTCAAAGCACTCAGCACATCATTGTGCTATATATCTTTGTACACACAAATAGTGTGGAAATAGTCCCTGTACCGTTCAGTATCACAGTCTCCAAGTGACCAGGTGATGACTACCCTTATTCTGTAGATCATATCTGTATTTATTGTCATAGTCGGAACAATGTGAATATACACCAGTTGTTACATCACTCACTACAACATTCTATTGCCTTTGATAGAAAGAACAATGGATTGAATCTATTCGAGCTATCCACTTTGCATTTGAACAGCACAGCATTTTCCTCATCTCCTCATCTCTCTCTCTCTCTCTCTCTCTCTCTCTCTCTCTCTCTCTCTCTCTCTCTCTCTCTCTCTCTCTCTCTCTCTCTCTCTCTCTCTCTCTCTCTCTCTCTCTCAGAAAACCCAACCCTGTCAAGCCAGGTTACATTCAGGGTCACTGAACTTTTCAGTAAGCAATACAGCTAGTATTCAGAGCAGAAAAAGCCCTGAACTGAAGGTCCGATCTGTGTGCATGTCCATTTGCAGAATACTTCTTATCCACTTCACTGAGGACTGCTGACACCTGCTAAACCTTAACACCAGAGGAACTAAAATCAAGAGTCAATCTATAACCCAGAGGAAATATAGCAGCTACATGTGACAGACACAGTACAATTTATCTGAGGAAGTCAATGACATAGCCTACTGTACAAGAGACATTTCACATCTTTTATGGGTGATTGCTTTTTATTAGTATAAAAAAATATGTACAGTGGCTTGCGAAAGTATTCACCCCCCTTGGCATTTTTCCTATTTTGTTGCCTTACATCCTGGAATTAAAATTGATTTTTTGGGGGGTTTGTATCATTTTGATTTACACCACTTTGAAGATGCAAAATATTTTTTCTAGTGAAATAAACAAGAAATAAGACAAAACAAACAGAAAACTTGAGCGTAAATAACTATTCACCCCCCCAAAGTCAATACTCTGTAGAGCCACCAATTACAGCTGCAAGTCTCTTGGGGTATGTCTCTATAAGCCTGGCACATCTAGCCACTGGGATTTTTGCCCATTCTTCAAGGCAAAACTGCTTCAGCACCTTCAAGTTGGATGGGTTCTGCTGGTGTACAACAATCTTTAAGTCATACCACAGATTCTCAATTGGATTGAGGTCTGGGCTTTGACTAGGCCATTCCAAGACATTTAAATGTTTCCCCTTAAACCACTCAAGTGTCGCTTTAGCAGTATGCTTAGGGTCATTGTCCTGCTGGAAGGTGAACTTCCGTTCCAGTCTCAAATCTCTGGAAGACTGAAACAGGTTTCCCTCAAGAATTTCCCTGTATTTAGCGCCATCCATCATTCCTTCAATTCTGACCCGTTTCCCAGTCCCTGCCGATGAAAAACATCCCCACAGCATGGTGGTGGCAGCATCATGCTGGGGATGGTGTTCTCGGGGTGATGAGAGGTGTTGGGTTTGCGCCAGACATAGCGTTTTCCTTTATGTAATTTTTTTCATTTCACTTCACCAATTTGGACTATTTTGTGTATGGCCATTACATGAAATCCAAATAAAAATCAATTTAAATTACAGGTTGTAATGCAACAAAATATGAAATCTTTTGCCAGGCACTGTATGCAAAGCAAACTATCACATTAATAAACATTACAGCAACATTTTCTCCTTCCTATAATCTAAATATAGAGAGCTGCTTCAGTTAGCCCCAACATTTAAAATCACGCCTGGCCTCCCCTAGATGAGAGCTGAGAGTCTGGATGTCTAATCATGCTCCTCTGAGCCTGTGGATCCAGGGTTTATACTGAAACAAGAACACACTCCCAAAAACACAGCAGCAAAACACACTGCCAGCCAGCCAGGTGCATGCCAGAAGACTGCTCTCAGTCATAACCCAATGAAACACACTCTATATTGTGATTTGTAGTCATATTTTTATAACTGTAAATGGGAGCTAGGTAGATTATTCCATTGTAGCTGTTGTTCCTGTTGAGGTTCAGTAGAGGTATTCTCACTATTAGCTGTGCTCTATGGGCCCAATTCTGACTTAGGAAATGTACTCCTTTCCTACGCTCTTCTCAGTAGTTGGTATTCAGACTTACCTTATGCAGGTGCGTAACGGGCTTTACAGGCGTGGTTCCCTTGCGCCCGCTGAATAGATTTAAATCACCCGCTGAAAACCCTCCCACTTACTGACCAACATATTTTTGCGTGGAGTTTTATTCAATAGGGTTTTCAGTACATTTTTCTTAAGCCGGCCATTTAAATACGGTGTACCTTTAATTAGAATTTTGTCGACAGACTAGAATACATCAAAAGAACACAGGTTCAGATTATAGGGATCAATGTTAGAAAACCATCTAAATATTTACATATTCGTCTCTGTTTCAGCACCAACTGGTAGATGTAAAAATTATCTGATCTTGTAGGTTATTTAGGCACATTTTGGAGTTAGGAAAGTATGTATGAATCATAAAAAAAACTGGTTTGGAAAGCCTTTACACACTAAATACTGTAAAGTGATGAATAAAAAATAGTGGTTTGATTCATCCTGAAAGTTGTCATATTCAAGTTCAATCCATTATATATTGGAAGATGGGGAAAAAGTGTACAATAGTCAATAGTCAATAGTCCTATAAATCTATCCTAATTCTCACTAATCATGGAACTGTATGACAACGGTCCAGTCGTCGTGAACCGTGCGCCAGTCTCCAGGTTTAACCTGCTACGTGTGGTCTGACTTCCATAATGATTCAAATAGGCTAGATGTCCCAAATTATTGCACAATGTTAGCCTAATGTGATATGATCCACTAATGCTAGTGAACCTCAGGAACAACTACACAGACGTGACTGAGGAAAGAAAGGTAAACGGAATGGAATGGAATGATGCAAAATGTAAGCTACAAATTGAAGAAAACTAACACTAAAGTGACTCCCGATAGTGGCTAATATTTAAAATGATACAAGGTCAGAATACGGTGTATCTGTAGACACACCTCCGCCACATCGTAATTTCTTAGATCTCCACTCCGAACAAATACCAGGTGAATAGCATGCTATTCTGATGCTGAAGTTCGTCAGAATACGCATAGAGAGAAAAGTGCATAAAAAGGGAAATACGTTCCATTTATGCAAGCTTAACTCAGGTCGGAATCGGCCCATATGAGCTGTGATGGGCTTCTTGCTGTAGCTGTGCTGTTGTGTTATGGCTAACAGCCTCTGTTTTACATTTACATTTTAGTCATTTAGCAGACGCTCTTATCCAGAGCGACTTACAGTTAGTGCATACATTATTATTTATTTTTTTCATACCCCCCCGTGGGAATCGAACCCACAACCTATCGAACCCAACTGAGCTACATCCCTGCCGGCCATTCCCTCCCCTACCCTGGACGACGCTGGGCCAATTGTGCGCCGCCCCATGGGTCTCCCGGTCGCGGCCGGCTACAACAGAGCCTGGATTTTAGCCATGTTCATTAGAGAAGGCTGCTCTCTCTCTCTCTCTCTCTCTCTCTCTCTCTCTCTCTCTCTCTCTCTCTCTCTCTCTCTCTCTCTCTCTCTCTCTCTCTCCCCCTCTCTCTCTATCAGAAAACCCAACCCTGTCAAGCCAGGTTACATTCAGGGTCACTGAACATTTCAGTAAGCAATATAGCTAGTATTCAGAGCAGAAACAGCCCTGAAATGAAGGTCCGATCTGTGTGCATGTCCATTTGCAGAATACTTCTGACCGACACTGCAGACTCATTTAATTTCTCTGGATGTAATGGTGCTGTCTCCTATCCTTGAGACAGAGAGAGAGGTGAAAACACATTCATAACATCCCTCTTGTTTTATCCAGTCAGCAGAAGGGTTCTGCTTCCGCCAGGCTGCCTGCATGGCCTGTAACAGGGAGGGAATGTCCACTCTGTTTGTACCCACTCGGTGGGATGTCCTTGGGAACCTGAGAACTGGGGATCGATCCTCAAAAGAGACACACACAAACACACAGAGTTATATTTATAGATATCCACTCTCTCCACTGTCATCAAAGAGCAGATTGTAGTCGTTCAATTTATGTGGGTTATCATTACCTTTTCTCATTGATCTGATGATGTTCTGATGATGTTTTACTGTAGATAAATGATATGTCACATGTCAATGTTTATCATAGATGTCCTCAATGGAGTAAAACTGTTATAAGTACAGTGCCTTGCAAAAGTATTCATCCCCCTTGGCGTTTTTCCTATTTTGTTGCATTACAACCTGTAATTTAAATTGATTTTTATTTGAATTACATGTAATGGACATACACATAATAGTCCAAATTGGTGAAGTGAAATGAAAAAAATAACTTGTTTCAAAAAATTCTAAAAAATAAATAACGGAAAAGTGGTGTGTGCATCTGTATTCACCCCCTTTGCTATGAAGCCCCTAAATAAGATCTGGTGCAACCAATTACCTTCAGAAGTCACATAATTAGTTAAATAAAGTCCACCTGTGTGCAATCTAAGTGTCACATGATCTGTCACATGATCTCAGTATATATATACACCTGTTCTGAAAGGCCCCAGAGTCTGCAACACCACTAAGCAAGGGGCACCACCAAGCAAGCGGCACCATGAAGACCAAGGAGCTCTCCAAATAGGTCAGGGACAAAGTTGTGGAGAAGTACAGATCAGGGTTGGGTTATAAAAAAATATCTGAAACTTTGAACATCCCACGGTGCACCATTAAATCCATTATTAAAAAATGGAAAGAATATGGCACCACAACAAACCTGCCAACAGAGGGCCGCCCACCAAAACTCACAGATCAGGCAAGGAGGGTATTAATCAGAGAGGCAACAAAGACTCCAAAGATAGCCCTGAAGGAGCTGCAAAGCTCCACAGCGGAGATTGGAGTATCTGTCCATAGGACCACTTTAAGCCGTACACTCCACAGAGCTGGGCTTTATGGAATAGTGGCCAGAAAAAAAAGCAAACACGTTTGTTCGCCAAAAGGCATGTGGGAGACTCCCCAAACATATGGAAGAAGATACTCTGGTCAGATGAGACTGCTAGGCAAATCCCCGCCTTATCTTAGCTCATTGGTCACCATAGCAACACCCACCCGTAGTATGCGCTCCAGCAGGTATATCTCACTGGTCATCCCCAAAGCC